TTCATTAAACTAACTCACTATGGTAAGACATAACTTTAGTACTTCTACATTGTGTTTTTTGTTCTTTCATCGCATTAAAACGAGTAAATTTTGCGAAAATTCCGAGGAAAATTCATCAAATTCGTAACTCAATTCGATCAAAACTATGCTGGATGATGGCTCCGGCCGTTACGTCACAAAATAAAGCTCTTTGATTCGCTGGGAAATTTCAGCCAGCCAATCGGAGTTTTTTGAAATTTTAAAAATTTTCAGCAAATCAGAGAGCTTTATTTTATGACGTAACGCCAGGAGCCACGCATAGTTTGACCAAACTGAGTCGCGAAATTGATGAATTTTCGCAAAATTAACCCGTTTTAAAGTGATGAGAGAAGAAAAAAACACAATGTAGAAGTACTAAAGTTATGTCTTACCATAGTGAGTTAGTTTTTTTAATGAATTTCGATATTTATGTACGAGTTTTTTCGTCATTAAGTTTGTGTATACAGTTTTAAATTTGTATTTTCTTGCCATCCTTGGGGATATATATTACACGCGTAAAAATCATCATGTTGATGCAAGTTGTTCAAAACAGGAGCGAACAATGTTGTGCTGCACCCCGTGAACAATATTGTTAACAGGTTGTTGAACCATCAACATTGTTGCAACTTGTTGACAATCATGTTAACAACTTGCAACAGCACTGATGGTTGAACAACTTGTTAACAATATTGTTCACGGGGTGCAGCACAACATTGTTCGCTACTGTTTGAACAACGCCGAACAACCTGATCAATTTTTACCCGTGTACATAATGACGCAACGCTATTGTGATGTTACAAGTACTTCATGTAATACAAATTATAGAGATTTTACTCTACATTGCATGTCAAAGCATTGCATTTTAAAGCAAATTGTATGGATTTTTTAAAAAAATAAAAGACTTTTTCGGGACATCAATGTTATTGCAAGTACCAAGGTCTAAGTGAGAATAAAACCAATAAATTTTGTTGAAAACGCCCAGAGAGCTATAAATATATATATGTACGACTGTTATTGTTGTCATTCGAATTTTTCTAGTCGCGTGAAAATCCCACGAATATCCCACAAGAATCCCACGAGTTAGTTCACAGTTTTTAGGAGCTAAATTCTGATTGGTGGAAATCGATATCCCGCTCGTTTCTGCAGACGTTATTTTCCAAGCGGAAAATGAGCGTCGGAAATGACGTCTGGGTTCGCAGACTAGGTTTGTTCCCGAGATATTTCAATTTGTTTGATATGTTCATTTACATGAATATGTCCGCTAATTTATGACGCCACGTTGGTTGCAAGCTCAACTTACAGTGGTTATAAATGTATTAACTCTAACAACTGTTGACATCAGTTCACCAGTGTTCCATCACATTTACCAGTGAGTGAAGGTTGAAATTATCATCTTGGATGATAGCCGTCATATTCATCCATTTTGAAGAGCTTACAATCAACGTGACGTCATAAATTAGCGGACATATTCACACTCATTTACATATCAAACAAATTGAAATATCTCGGGAACAAACCTTCAAAAACTCATTAATAATTTATGAAATAATTATCCAATCTTGAGTAAGAAATTAGTCACGTTCATACGTCTTTATACCAGTTAAAGAACACTTTAACAAAATACCATTGTTATGCAAACTATATATAGATTTTTATATACAGATTTTTATATAAAGATTTTTATATAAAGATTTTTATATAAAGATTTTTATATAAAGATTTTTATATAAAGATTTTTATATAAAGATTTTTATATAAAGATTTGACTTATTATGCAAATGTTTTTGAAGTCATTTAAAAAACTCGCAGGTCGTGTTTTATTAGGTCTAAAGCCACTCGCGCTGCACGCTCGTGGCTTTAAACCTAATAAAACACTCCTGCTCGTTTTTTAAATAGTACATAAAAACAAAAAAACCCTGAAAAATAAGGTACACTACAGTTTAAAGAGTTCTTTCATTCAAGAAAATAAGAAATCTCATGTCATATACATTTAATACGATTCGGTTACTATTTAAATACAGCTCCATATATATGGAAATAATCGTCCTCTTTTCTTACTTATAGTTGTGTCAAAAATTTACGAGAAGGTTGTTTTATGCCAATTTACAACATTTTTGTTCCATGATGAATGTCTGACATCGCATCAAAGCGGTAACAGAAGATATCATTCCTCGGAGACTTTGAACGTTTTGGTTGATGATATCATATTGGAAGCTATGGATCAGAAATCTGTAACTGCACTTATACTATTAGATTTCTCGAAGGCATTTGATAGCGTACATCACCCAACATTGCTTAACAAGCCAAGACACATTGGCGCATCTCCTGAGGTAGCGAAGTAGTTCGAAAGCTACTTAACGGGCAGATCACAATTTGTTCCTTTTTGGAACGTCTGTTTCGTCATCTCTTAACATCACTCACGGGGTTCCGCAGGGTGCTATTCTATCTCCACTCTTGTTTAGCATCTATGTAAATGATTTACCACTTAAAGACGCGACTGACACAAGAGAGTACCTTCAGGAATATCTCAGCCGTGTAGCAAAGTGCTGCTCTGACCTTCGTCTACATATTAACGCGGAGAAAACCAAGTATTTGCTCATCGGAACGCGACAACAGTTACAAAATTTCCCTACAGATATGTGCCTAAATTTTCTAGGTGAAACGATCAGGCCAGTTCCTTGAGCCAAGGATTTAGGATTAATAAGGGACACCAACATGTCATACGATTGCCATATCACCGAATTAGGCTCCTCTTGCATGTCCAAATTGTCACAGATCAACCGAGTAACAAGCCTGAAAATAAGCGGCCGGTCACGGACATTGTCCGGTACGAAAAGGTAATTGTCCGGCACAACTGTTTCCTTGCCGGACAGTTTGTCTGGCAGCATGCACATTAATATACTATTGGTGAAACTGGCACTTTTCTAAATATTTGCATTCCACATTTAAAAATTATGTGAATTCAAATTTCATCACGTATGAATATTAAGACAATATGCCTGTGAAATGCTGTGAAATTTATGTTCCGTTTTATATTCCGTATGATATAATTGACTAGCTATAGTGGCTTTAAAATTGTTGTGACTAAGCTTTTCATTGGCTTCTTTTATTTCAAGGACCACTAAAAACTATAGTTGCTCTGTTGCATTAATATTTTGTCAGGCACAAAATGTCCAGTGTCAGGCACCAATCAGTTGATACCTGACACTTTGTCAGGCACCGTTGGAAATTTATTTTCAGGCTTGCCGAGTAAGCAAATGTTTTGATAAAGAAACTATATCCCTCTTGGTATCAGCATTGGTAATGGAAAAACTCCTTTATTGCTCCTCTGCTTGGTCGAACACTTCGGCCAAAAATATTAACAAGCTAAACTGGTACAAAACTTCGCGTGTAGGATCGTGACAAACAGCAAGAAGTTCGATCATACTCACCAAAACTGCAATAACTGAATTGGCTTTCAGTTAAGGAGCACTTACTTTTTAGAGATACAGTTTTGATGTACACGTGTATTAACAATCTAGCCCCACCTTACTTGTGCAATAAATTTAGAAACGATCAAATATACATGAATGTAACACTCGTAACCGAGAGCTCCTCCAAATACCGATTTATAATACCACCACTGGCCAGAGAACATTTTATTATAGAGGGGTGAAACTATGGAATGATCTGGACAATAACACGAAACAAATGCCATCTTTGAGAAATTTTAAGAATAAGTTAAAGAAAGACATGTTAGATAGACTGTATTCTTAGTAATGGACTATTTTAATAATAGAAGATTTTTCCTAGTAAATTTTTATATATGTAATCTTAACCTTGTTTCTTAATCACAATTCCATGTAAATTAGTTTTGAAAAGCCTCTTTGAGGAACACGATAAAGTATGTATGTATATATGTATGCATGTATGTATGTATGTATGTATGTATGTATGTGTGTATGTATGTGTGTATGTATGTATGTATGTATGTATGTATGTATGTAAATAATGGACAGAGACGTGGGGGGAGGGGGAAGGGTGTCGGGAGTGTCCAGGAAGGACCAATTTTGTAATTTACTAATTGTTTCAAAACTGAAAAAAACTGAGCTGGAGTAACCTCCAATAAACTCGTCATCACATGAAAACTAATTCACGAAAGAATTCAAACGAATTAAGTATTTAATCAATGTATTAATTCGTTTTGAGCAACACGCAACCTTTTCGTTTCGTATTTACATATCAGACAAAGATCGACTCCATCACTCATGCTTACATTATCATATACTTACAATTTGGTTGTTTTCGACACAACTTCCGTAAAGATTTGATCGGCAGTGACCCTTTCATGCAGGATAGATGATCGAGAGTTGTGGTAAGCATGTCCACTATTAAAATAAAAAGAGTGGAATTCAGTAATATTAATATTTCGAAGAGAAAAATAACTCTTCGCAGAGCAGAATGTAGCCTCCTGCGCGGGCCTCTCTGTGTGTTTTAATCTGCGAAATTTCCGACCACCCGATTCCTTGGGTCAGCTGCCTGTGGAGGAGGCTAAGGAGAATGCTTAATTCCCATTATATCTAAAGTATTTTATCAAGTTGTCCGGACAACTGCATGCGGTATATTTGGAAAGATTATTAACCAAGCTGCTCTCTAGTTATGTCATTTTTTCCAATGATAAATAGAGAATAATACATGGGTGCTTGGAAATACCAGATTTTACAAGAAATAAATCTGGTATTTCCAAGCACCCATGTATTTTTCTGTTTATTATATACACAAAATTTAGTGAAAAACAATAAAACGTCCGTGGCAATGCGTTTTACAACAAATGATATTTTCACACGTAAAAATATCGTATTTTTTACGTGTGTTTAAATACGATTTTCCACAGTGGTCAAAAAACTCTATATAATACTTATGTTTATATATAATAGTACCTATTACTGTCTACATCTCATACAGAGCTCAGGAACGACATAATTTTTTGTGGTTTCAAAAGATTAATGACATATACCTACTGTCCCGTCTCCTCTTGTGGTTTTAAATGATCCTCGGAAGCTCTTGTTTTTGGCAAGTTGAAGCAATTCCATGTTCGCTCCCTATAAAAATTAGTACAAAAATAAGAATAAAAACAGCGGGCAAATAATCTTTTTTAAATTTGAATTTTCTTCGGAATGCAATTGCGTTAAATTTCGTTCCATAAGCACTTTAATTTTAAGAAAGTTTTAATTGTTATGTATGTCACAAACAAGATTATCTTACAATTACCTTATTAATTTTTCCTTTGTGGAAGCGTCTACTTATTATGTCTTTGATCTTGGCCTACAAAACGAAATTGACCGAAGTGATTTTATTTACATTTTACCTTAACTTTTGCCTTTTTTCACACTAAATGTCTGCTAGAAAAAGATGCATGTTGGACCAAAAACTATATAGATTAAACGATCAATAAGAAATAAGAAATTGGAATTCGAAAATTTATAGTCTAATCTTGTCCATATGGGTCTTCGGTGTTGAATTTCAAAATCATTTTATTCTTTGGAACTTGTTTGGTGATTTTCAAGGTGATTTTCAGGAAGGTCCTCATGGACAAAAAGGAATAGTCTTGCTTCAACACCACGTTTGCTTTTAATTATTTTTTTAATTTGCCATCCAAAATGGCGGAAGTAAACAATTACATGTTGTGACGTCACTTGTAAGAAAAAATTAAACACTTTACACATAGAAAATATGTATATATACAGCCAATTTCAAAACCGATTTTAACTCTGGAGTTATTCCATGTACATGCATGTCACAACCAATAATAATTCTTGCATTGTTATATATCGGCCGGTCAAAGGACATTGTCCTGTCAGAATTGGACATATTGACTGAGTATTGATCGCCGTTCATGATGTTCAGTATCCTGAGAGCAGAGCCTGATTTCCCCTCGCGTAGAAAAATAGGCTCTGCCGTTTTCGTGTTTTTGCTCGTAAACTGGACAAACCGGTAATAAACCAGTTCTAACCGGTTTTAAATGCGCGCGCCTTCGTTTTGCATGTAAACCGATGACTACAATTTGAACCCGCTATACATTTACAAAATTTAAAACTTTATAAACTTTATACTTAAAACCGAAATTTGGCTGACAATAACTTAACTAATATACTGAAAAGTAACGTAGGATAGAATAAACTAGCAAGTTAGCAATTGTAAAAATATAGTAATAGTTTGATTTCACAACTGACAAGTGACAAAGCTATCGATTTGAAAATATTTTTGTATTGTTATATTGTCGTAGTTGTAGAGCACGTGCAGTTGCACGCGCCCAGCATGTAGCGATAACTGCATGTGATTGGTTCTCTAAATTTAGCAATCATTCTAAAAATACAACTGATCTTTGACAAATTTCTTTGACATGTTTTGACATAATATTGGAGACAGAGCATGCGCGACAGAAATTAACACAAAAACGGCAGAGCCTTATTTTCTGCGCGAGGGAAAATCAGGCTCTACTCTCAGGGTAGATGTTCAGTCAATTCGTCTGAAAAACGAATAGTACCTACAATAAACAAATTTGTTCATGCACAAGAAGTGCTTTTATATGTTTTTCGCACAATTGTTAATTTGTTTTCACAAAACTCACTCGCTCATCGCTTGTTTGGTTTGTGAAACAAATTCAGGCGTGAGAAAATACCATACGTCAAGCTCTTCCCATGAAGAAATCACTATATATGAAACGAAAGATAGCGTCAAACGATTCGAAAGCTTACAAATAATAAAAGGAAGATATAGAAAAATTATAAAATATACGAGTATACCTTCACCTCTTTTGAATCCATATCCGAACCACTCTGAATAGAAGAAATTTAATTTTATTTAAAGGTGATGAATTCAGCGCTACATGTTGTAAAATATGATTAGATATATATTACTGCTGTATTTTTAACACTTTTCTTGTTCGCTACGCTTGCAAATTAATACAGACTAGAGATTCAATTCAAATAAGTTCGGAGGGTGCGAAATATTAACAACATTCCAATGATGGCGGGTTCCAATGTAGGCGGGCGCAGAACGTATCTGCAGAACGGACTTTACATCACCTTTAAAGAACATTCTATCAGTTTGTGTTTTGATTAATTTGAGGCTGATTGATTTGATTCGAGGTTAAAGCGTTTTTTACACATACATGCATGAACAGTAAGGTCTATATAAGCCTGCAGTGTGCGCTTTCTATTTCAAACGCACATGCGTAGTAGACAGAGATACATTTTTAAATCCTATATTATAAGTTTAGATAAACACCCATAAAAACAAACAAAATACAAAGTAAACAAACACAAGGTTATATAGATTATATAGTGGCACGAGATTATATACCATTGCTAATGCTCAGCTTGTTTTTTTTTACGATGGATTTGAAACATGTAAAGAGTAAATACCGTGCTCTTAATACGTTTTCTCTTTTTGCAGACAAATGAGTAACTTTTATTGCAAGGCATATCTTTCCAACTGACACTTTTGCTTTCATGAATCATAGCACATCTCTCGCTCGGACCAGTGTATCTCTCGAGTCTTCCATACAACCCTCGTCTATGACTGGCATTAAATTGTCTGCCATCAAGCCAGTACCAGCCTTGTAATGGATCTTGTGGAGAGTAGACCGTAATTTCAGCATTATTTATCCAGTATCGCCTCCCATCAGTCGCTGTCTTGTTAATAACTTGAACATCAGTTAAATTTGCAAGACGGCTGTCATGTTGCAAGCAAAACGAATGAGCAGCCTTCCACGTCATTTGGACTTTATCAAATGCTCGCCAACACAATCCATTGTGTGTATGATTCCAGTTATTGAGACATACAGGTGAGAGATCTGAAATTTTATCAGGCACACTGAGCTATAGCGGACAACTGAACTGTGCATGAAACTTATAGGGATATGGCAAAAAGGATTTAGATTCAAAATTATGAAAGAACTTACAAAATTATGTTGAAACCTGTTTTATAGCTTTTCCATGCAAATGTTGCAGCTTAGTTCTCGAAATATCAGCTATCTAGTGTCATCTTGAATTGTTGTGGATATAAGCACGCTATGTAACAAGTAGAGACTGTAGAGTAAAGCAAATATTTTACTCAGATAGACGCAATGATCATTATTAGCTTAAAATTATACTGGTCACTATTGTGTGACAAAGTTTTGAAAAAAATTATTCAAGATGGCGGGCTGCTCATTGCTTTCAGGCAAAATATTTCAAAAACTAAGCAAGATATGAATGTAACAGCTGGAGTTTTCAATTCGTTCCACGAATAAGTGTGCTGATAATTTGCATTTGCAAGCAATCGTTTTGACACTTGAAATTGAAAAATAGTGCTCTGTCAAAATGTCATTAAATAATGTAATTCGAGAACGATAATACATTTAGATGTGAAAAAAGCTAAATGTTTCACGAAGGAAGCAAACAGATAAAATCTTGTAAACGATTACACTCACAAAGTCAGAGTGAAATTTACATTTTATTGGAGCACGGGTAATATGCTACAATATATACAGCACAGTGAGTGCCCGTGTTGTATACAAAGTATAAAAACACAGCCGAAGGCGAGAGGTCCATGATAGTCAAATAATTACACAAATCAGGGGGATTTTGTATGCGGATACAACACTTCACCTAAACATTGATTGCTTTTGAATTTTCTTCATGATTTATTAATGAGTTGTAAAAACAATTTATTTCTTATTAGCTGAATTACCTCTTCGCTCGCAAATATAGTTGAATGGAACAGAGCAATTGTGATGATTCCAATGCCCTGATGGTGCATTCATGTAGACACAACTCATTGCACCCCAGACTGTTTTTGCGTTGAAAAAACAAGTTGCTATATATAGGGGCCAATTTCCTTGCCACTAAGTGCAAATGGCGCGAATTTTGAAATAAAACGTACTAACGGCGATGAGTCGTTTGTGCAGAATTTACATTGACTTGATATTAAAATGCCGCGATTTACAGATGGAAATTGTTTATATCATAAGCTCTCTTAAAATTTCTTATATTCTATTCCGTTTTCACAATAATGCGACCACAGCTTTATAATTAAATATATTTTGAGTAGACCTGTCAGTTTTATGTCACGCAAAGTGAAATTAACATTAGCAGATAAAAAAAACACAGGCGGCCCAATCTCGCAAGGGTCAGTGTAGACTAATATAGTATAAATGTATATTTATAGATAATAAAAATATGTCATAAAATATAAATTTTAAAATGAAATTGACTTGCCTATTTAATGGTGTGTGTTCTCCTTGTATTCCTCCTTTGTTGGACTAATATTTTCCGAGACTTTGTACTCGATGATACTAGTATACATGAAACATGATAAAGGCTAACGATTCCCGATCGTCGATACGACGGCACGGCACTTCGAATCGAAAATTCTCACACTCAAATCCCTTTTTCTCCAAAAAAATTCGCCAGCATGTAGAACAGATGCCGTTCTTCGAAAATACGGGGATACTTCGGCGAGATGTACAAGTTTTGGACCGTATTTTAACAATGGAAATCGAAACCCGATCTATATTGAACTTGGCAGGCCGAAAATTACTACGGCGAACGCCTGCGCAACCAGGCCTCCTTTACGGTTGGGATTTACAGGGGGGAGGATGCCACTAATATGTAAACGATCATCTTTCGAATTAAAGTATCATATTCTACCATGCTTTCCAACAAAGAGCCGCTGTATATTTCTTCTTCCTTAAATTCCTACAATCTCCGTTGTTTAGTTTTCTTTTTTTCGGCATCTGTTCTACATGCTGGCGAATTTTTTGGAGAATAAAGGGATTTGAGTGTGAGAATTTTCGATTCGAAGTGCCGTGCCGTCGTATCGACGATCGGGAATCGTTAGCCTTTATCATGTTTCATGTATACTAGTAACATCGAGTACAAAGTCTCGGAAAATATTAGTCCAACAAAGGAGGAATACAAGGAGAACACACACCATTAGATAGGCAAGTCAATTTCATTTTAAAATTTGTATTTTATGACATATTTTTACTATAATATACATTACTATAAATATGCATTTATACTATATTAGTCTATACTGAACCTTTCGAGATTGGGCCGCCTGTGAAAAAAAAAAAACAAAAAGAACGCATGCCATCTATTATTATAATTTGTACTTAGTAGCTTCGAATATTGCCTTTAGCAACTTCTTTGTTTTATTGCGAAAACTATCACAGGAAAAGGAAGGATTGAAACGGTAAATCGAAATATCCGTAGTAAATTACGCCTACTTTAAAAAAATGTAATGCAATTCTCTGGTGTTTGGTGAAACGTTGGAATTCAATAATACTAACTAAATATAACGTTTCTTTATTTTATAATTTTACCATCAAATACATGCAAGACTAACCATATACAACATTTGTGTAGGGTTGTTAATTTGAGCAATAGTCTGCAATTTAACTCTGATCTTCAATTCAACTCAATCAATGCTTAAAGTGTACAAAATCCATCTCTGTTCTAATTGTACGTTTATGACAGATAATATTTTGACATAGTTTTGTATGAAATAGGCAAATAGGTAAAAAGTCTATATTTTGCAGGGTACTGAGCACTCAGCATAGAGTCATGCCGTTGCCAAGAAATACAGAGCGCACTTTAGCTCAGTGGCCATATAGCGCTGTACCAAAATCGAAAGCATTCAGGCTACCGGAGGACTACCCTGCGAACAAGCGTTTATAGGAGATAGCCGAGCATAATAAACGCCTGCTGGCATGCCTTATAATTTTGAAAAACGCCCCTTTGAGTCACGCCCACCTGTTAAAAACTCAAAAATCACAGAATAGTGCTCAAACAAATGGCATGTAGTAAAACATGGACTGGACTCATTAGTAAAACATGGACTGGACCCGATTAGTAAAACACGGACTCTATTTGTAAACCATGGACTATATTAGTAAGACATGGACTCTATTTGTAAAACATGGAATTTATTAGTAAAACATGGACTCTATTAGTAAAACATGGACTCGATTAGTAAAACATGGACTCGATTAGTAAAACGTGGACTCGACTGGTAAAACATGGACTCGATTAGTAAAACATTCCTAAATGTAGTTCCTTGTCTGTTTTTTTGTAAATTGTAATTTTAATAACATCAACTTTAGTGTATAAGAGATGTCATCGATATTTAACGTAAAGTTTCAAGAAGCATCGGCCATTGTAAGTAAATGTGGAATAAATGCCAAATTATTGACGTTTCCCAGATGACCCCATCCCCACCTAACAATCCTAACACGAAATTGAACAGGGGTCGGTTGTATCAAAGGCGTTTGGCTTAAAGGGTGTATAGGCAAAAAATTAAAAACATTCCTATTCTCAATATACTGTCGGAGACTGTCTATATATATCTTAATATTTGTGATTTAATGGCAGGATTAATTATTACTTTAATTAGGGACGAACATTGCATGATTGACACATTTATATTATTATGAAGAGGAGTTAAAAGATAGGAATGTAGTGACTGTGAGAGAGACTAGACCGCGTATACAACTGTGAGTGATTTTTAATAATATAATTTTATAAAACCGAATTTGCTTCGTCGAGAGTTTGATTGTTCAATACCTTTTAGTAAGGGTCAATTTACTAAACCTGGCACTTCCGACGGGATCGTAAAATGAGTGAGGCAAACGCCAGCACCGCGCTGGAAACAAAATTAGTTCAATTGCAACTAACGACGAAGCGCGCGGACGGAATTCTTGCAAAATCCGAAGAAGAGCCTATTGCTCGACATCAGGGAACACTTAGAACTGTTATTGGCGAAGTGGACAAACTAAGGCTTACGGTTGAAGCTGAAAAACTGGGCAGAAAAGAGGACACTAGCGAGTGGAGCGAGGTGATTGATACCAAAATCAGCGATGAAGTTCGTCACTCGGTGTTACAAACTGACGTCAATCTCGCGTGCTTTACTGAGACGTGGCTGACTGACTTTGTACATGATAACGTCATCCAGATTCCGGGATATAATGTTGTAAGAAGAGATTGCCTAATTGGCCAACATGGAGGAGTGTGCCTTTATGTAAAAGAGTCAATCCCATTCGAAATTCTCAGTCAATACCATAATGATCAATTCGAGGTCTTGTGGGTTAAAGCTCGTCCTCACAAATTGCCGAGGGGCCTATCTTGCATTATCATTGGTTCAATTTACCATCCACCCTCCGCAAATGATAGAAATATGATTGACTTCCTAACTGAACAATTGTCCCTTATCGAATCAACTTATTACAATTGTGGTCTTATTCTACTTGGAGACTTTAATAATCTTAATTGTCATCGTCTAAATAACCACTTCAGTCTAAAACAATTGGTTAAATTCCCGACTCGTGGAAGGAGAACCCTTGATTTAATTCTAACTAACTTGGCTAAATTTTACCTACCGCCAGTTAAACTTCCACCTTTTGGTCTCTCCGACCATTTTACTATCCTTTTGACCCCTAAACACAAGGTTGCAGGAAGAACAAAATATGATATTTCCCAAGTTCGCAATCAACACCCGAGAAACAAAGCAGCTATCAGCACCTTCATTACTGAATTTGACTGGTCAATCCTTGATTCCCTTTCGTCATGTGATAAAAAATGGTCTGCTTTTGAATCAATTATTCGGTTTGGGATGGACATTCTCCTTCCCACAAAAACTATAAAGAAACGGCTCGATGACCCACCATGGATGACCAAACATTTGAAATCCTTAATTGAGCAACGTCAAAAAGCATTAGCGAAAGGACATGACCAGTTATTTAAAAGTCTTCGTAACCGCGTCAATAGGGAACGAAAACAATGCCGGAGTAAATACTATGACTCAAAAGTCAGTCAACTTAAAGCCTCTGATCCCAAACAGTGGTGGAAATCTGTTAAGTACCTGTGTGGAATGGATCCAGTCAACCACAAGTATGATCTCCGACATCTTCAAAGCCTGTCACCCACTGGTGATGAAACTAATGAAACCAACGAAGGCAACGCATCTCTTTCACACTTGGCGAATACCATAAATCAAACCTTCCTAGAACCAATGAACATGTTCCAACTTCTAAATTCTGACCACCCCCAAGCCTTAAACGTGTACGGCACCAGTAACCAATTACCATCTACAATTACCACCACAGAATCGTATATTTTCGAGAAATTATCCAGTATAGTACCTACGAAGGCTCATGGCCCAGACACTATTCCTGGTTGGCTTCTCAAAGAGAATGCCGATGTACTATAGCAAATCCCGTTTGCAAGATTCTCAATTCTTCTTATCTCGAAAATCGTTTACCCGCTGCTTGGAAGTTCGCAGATGTAATTCCCATTCCAAAACAGAAGCCTGTACGAACTGTAAACAAGGATTTAAGGCCCGTTTCGTTAACACCAATAGTCTCAAAACTAGCCGAGGAAGTGGTAGTTGAACAGTTCATTAAACCGGCGATTCTCAAAGTGGTGGATCCTAACCAATATGGAACAGTGCCGAAATCATCTACCACGCAAGCTCTTATTAGCATAGTCCACAATGTTGCTAAAGCCACTGATGGCAACGGGGCCTTAGTTAGACTTGTTCTATTGGATTTTAGGAAAGCATTTGATTTCATCGATCATCAGTTACTTATGGTAAAGCTCCACTCTCTGGACGTTCCGCCGAGTGTTATAAATTGGGTAAGAGATTTTTTGACAAATCGTCAACAAAGAGTAAAGTTGGCCAATGACTGCTATTCAGAATGGTCCCTAGTCCCAGCAGGTGTACCCCAGGGAACCAAACTCGGTCCTTGGTTATACATTCTTATGGTCAATGACCTCAACACAGTCAGTAACAACCTCTGGAAATACGTAGACGATACGACTTTAGCCGAGGTAATACCCAGAGGAGGGGATAGTAATATTCAATTTGAGGTCGATGATATCCAAAACCAATCCAACACCTTGAAATTTACCCTCAACGAGAACAAATGTAAAGAGATGCGAATACAATTCAGCAGATACAACACTAATTACCAGCAGCCTCCCCTTGTGACAATCAACGATAAACAGGTAGACTTGGTCTTCCAAAGTAAAATTTTGGGTTTGACTATCAGCAGGACCTTAAGTGGAATAGTCATATTGATAATATTGTTAAAAAGGCATCAAAGAGATTGTACTTTTTGCGACAATTGAAGCGTGCCAAAGTATCTACCACTGAGACGATGTGTTTCTACTTCACTTGCATCCGACCAGTTGTCGAATACGCATCTCCTGTCTTTCATTATGGAATTCCCATATATCTATGTAAAGACATTGAACGAATCCAGCGACGAGCCATGAAAATCATATTTCCCACCAAATCATATGCCGAAGCGCTCTCCCATTCTAAGCTTCTAACTCTTGAAGAGAGACGTCAAATTGCGTGCGACAAACTCTTCAAAGAAATAATGGAAGATAAAAATCACAAATTGCACCCACTTCTACCAGATCCGAATACTGACGTAGCGTATTCCCTGAGAACTTCGAGAAATTTTAAAATTCCCAAATGTAAGACTGAACGATTTAAAAAGTCTTTTATAATTGCTGCTAGTTCTAATAATTAAAGCAGCAGTCACTGAGGATTTTATATATTTACAATTATTTTATTATGTTTAGTATTTTTAAGCAGTAATAGATAGTATAATTAACTTAAACCTTTCCTTTGTAAAATGTAACCGTTGTAATTCAGCTTCTTGGCTGCAAGATCGGTTGTTTTTTTTTTAATAAATTGTAAATTGCAAATAGTCGTGTAAGACTGACGAAGGAATGGTTGGCGGAAAACAAGAGGAAACTAGAGGAGATGGAGAACGACGAGAAGATCAAGTTTGAGGTAAAACTGCATGAAACTAAAGTAAAGTTACAAGATGAACATATTCTTAAAAACACCTCGCAGACCAGTAAAAGTATGATTGGAATGCAAGCGAAATTACCGAAGCTAGTGATTTCGAAATTTAATGGTTCTCCTATGGATTGGCCAAGGTTTTGGGGAGTTGCCTTATCTTCGCGAGTTGTTAGAGCCTAAAGCACGACAAACAATCGAAGCATTGCCCTTCCACAGCGAAGGGTACAATCGAGCGATAAGCATCCTGAAGGATAAGTTTGGGAAAGAATCCGAGATAGTAAAGGGTTACACGCGCGAGATACTTGGGTTGCCCACAATACAAACGGCCAATCAGAAAAAGATTCATGAGTTTAGCGACAAATTGTCGTACTGCGTTCAAGCTTTAGAGACATTGGACAAGCTTGACGGGGTCAATGGCGCCGTGCCAATGACTCTTGATAAACTGCCTAGCATTCGTGGAGATTTGGTGCGAACGGACCCTGAATGGGAGAAATGGACCTTTGCCAAACTAGTTGAAACGCTCAACCAGTGGTGTCGAAGAAATCCAATCGACAAACCATCCGAACTAAACGACGACTCGTTTAGCAGCAAGAGACGAGACAAGCTGTTTCATGTCTCTCGTCAGAGATTAAATCCACGTAATTGCGTTTATTGCGATAGCGGCGAACACAAAACAAACGATTGCGCAAAAGTAACTCTGACGTCAGCCCGTAAACAGATACTAGCCAAGAAATGATTATGTTTTAATTGCGCCGCGGGCAATCATAAAGCCTCTGAGTGTCCGAGTAAAGCCACTTGTAGGAAGTGCGAAAAGAGACATCACACGTCTATTTGTGATTCTCACGACAACAAGGCCGGTGGTCAAATTTCTGGCCAAAATTCAAACGTTGCCATGACTACATGCCAGAAAAGCGAAGCGGTGTTTCCAGTAGTCGTTGTAGAAGTCAATGGAATTCGATGTAGAGCGCTGATTGATTCGGGAGCTGGGAGCTCCTACGTGTCAGCAAAACTGATGGACTTACTCAAACTGAAACCATCACAATCCCAGATTAAAAACATTGACATGTTAATGGCCTCTAGGACGTCCAAACTCGAGATTTACGATATGAAATTTGACTCGCTAGACGGCTCGTTTAGTCTTCCCGTAAGAGCTACAAAGGTAAACAAGAGTGAACTTTTGTTGATCGACAATCCCAAATACCCCAAATTAATCAATCAACACCCCCACTTAACGGGCGTGACAATGAACGACGATGACGTCAAAGATACCCTGCCTGTCCATGTCATTTTGGGGAGCGGGGAGTATGCGAAGATTAAAACGCAAACAAGACCGAGAATAGGAGACGAGAAAGCCCCTATCGCTGAGTTGACCAAGTTTGGTTGGTTTCTAATGGGCCCTGGGTACGAGTTCGAAAGCAACGTGATGTTGATGACCCAGACCTCCCACGCCGAGTACGAGGAATTGTGTAGACTGGACGTTTTAGGGCTCGAAGATACCACCCAACATGACCAGACCCGATCTCCCGAGGGATGGTACGAGACCGCGTTACCTTGGAAACCAAACCATCCCTATCTTCCAAACAATGAACGTGGTAGTCTGAAGCGACTCGGAAGTTTGACTAAAAGACTTCAACGCGAAAACTTGATGGAGAAGTACGACGGCATTATACAAGAATAACTCGCTGAGGGGGTCATCGAAAGAGTTCCACCCCCCGTGGTGACCGGAAGTGACCCTACTCCACCTCGCGTGTTGACCGGAAATGGCCCAATTCCACCTCCCGTGGTGACCGGAAGTGACCCTATTCCACCTCCCGTGGTGACCGGAAGTGAGCCAATTCCACCTCTCATGGTGACCGGAAGTGACCCTATTCCACCTCCCATGGTGACCGGAAGTGACCCTATTCCACCTCCCGTGGTGACCGGAAGCGACCCTGTTCCACCTCCCGTGGTGACCGGAAGTAACCCTATTCCACCTCCCGTGGTGACCGGAAGCGACCCTATTCCACCGCCCGTGGTGACCGGAAGTGACCTAGTTCCACCCCCCACTGTGAGTGGAAGCAACGCAAAAGGATTCTACATTCCACACAGATACGTAGTCAGAGAATCGGCCCAGACGACCAAAATGAAGATTGTATATGACGCCTCGGCCAGAGAATCACCCGAAGCTCCATCCCTGAACGATCGCCTCTATGCAGGACCAGCCTTACAGAACAAGTTATGGAACATTCTGGTACAACAGAGCATTTCCCGTGATAATTTCGGGTGACATCAAACAAGCCTTCTTACAGGTTCGAGTCTGACAATGTGAGAGAAATGCGCTCCGATTCCATTGGAGATCCCATGCTGACGCAGATATCCTAACCTATCGTTTTACGCGAGTGTTATTCGGCCTTGCGCCTTCGCCATTTCTACTTGGCGGAGTCCTCGAATGTCACCTCGACTTGTGGTCCCAGAAATATCCGGAAAACGTGGTGCGAATACGTCGCAGTTTATAAGTCGACGATATTTTGTCTGGTGGTCAAGACACAACAGAGGCGAAACAACGGAAAACCACTGCAATTGAAATTATGGACGATGCAAACTTCAAATTACACAAATGGAACTCCAACGTGCCAGAGTTAGAAGACATCAACGACGAAATCTGTGACGAACAGTCGTTTCCAAAACAACAATTAGTTTAGTTTAGTTTTTAGTTTAATTAATTCGCCAGTAAATTACAATAACATACATATATAACAAGTTACAAGTTTACTAAACAGACGACTGGCAGGAGTTAGATACAGGACTAATGTCCCAGTTGCCATCCTACCCCTATACATCAATACAATGCACTAAAAAATATTCACGCAGGTATAAGCAATACGTAGCTAATTTATCGAAGTATAGGTTAGTGATTTTAGTCTTAAATAAAGTAATTGAATTACAAGATTTTAAATTAGAAGGTAACGTATTCCAGAGTTCTGTAGCCCTAATGAAAAACGACTTTCTATAATAGTCTTGTTTGTGCTTAATAATCAAGTTGTAGTTATTTGGGTCGTAATTACGTGTCCGATAGCAATAAACGTAAATGTTCAGGTACTTATTCACGTCCATAGTTATTAGCCCATTTCTGGACTTAAACAATAAAGTTAAATCCGAAATCTCTCTTCTGAATTCCAGTGGAAAAAGGCGTAGTTTCTGCAGCCTCAACGGATATGACATATCTTTTGGGTAATTAAGAATAAACCGCGTAGCTCTTCGCTGAACATTTTCGATAAGTAAACGATGTTTACCTGTGTAAGGAGACCAAAGACTACTACAATACTCAAGCTTTGGTCTAACAACAGTACAATACAGTAGCTTCCGGGTGTTTGTGTCCTTGATATCCCCACACAATCTTTTAACAAGACCAAGGGTTCTATTAGCTTTAGAGACAATCTCTTCGATGTGTTTAGACCATGAAAGGTTGTTGGTGATAGTAATTCCAAGGTCCAGTATGTTAGCAACATTTTCTAATTGGTTACCTGCCAGATAGTAGTTTTTACCCGTTAAGTGATGTTCTGTAGGTAATTTCTTCCTTGAAAAATGTACTGCTTTACATTTACTAACATTGAATGCCATTGCCCAGTTTTCGCCCCAGTGACTGAGGCTGTCGAGATCTTTCTGAAGGGAAACACTGTCGTTAGGCAAATAGATAGGGCGGAAAAGTTTGGAGTCGTCCGCATAAAGAGCAATTGATGAATTGTTTTCTAAATAGGTGGGTAGATCGTTAATGTATATTAAGAAAAGAAGCGGCCCAAGGATAGACCCCTGCGGTACGCCCGATGTAACAGGGGGCCAGTCAGAAGAATGTCCGTTGATAACCACTCGTTGATGTCTTTCCGATAAGTAACTGCCAAACCATGAGAGGGTAGGATCAGAAATACCATACGATTTAAGTTTTAATAAAAGCAGATTGTGTGGTACTTTATCGAACGCTTTGCTAAAGTCCAGGTAAATGGAGAACTAAATGTAAACACTTTAAAACTGATTGCAAAAAGTATAAAGACTGCCTTGCAAACATCTCGACGAATCTTCCTACGCCTTGACGAAACGACTTTAATACGGTTTTCCACTATAGGCGAACTTTTTCGATCGAACCGAAATTTCTATTGTTCAAATTCAAAAGATTTCTGATTAGTTCCATCTGAGTGCTTGTAAAACAACTGAGATCGATCCAATTGCAAACTGAGATCGAACCACAAGGCCTTAGCACCGGTCGAGAAAGACTTTTAAATTAATTCATATAATTATCTGTAATTTGGAGATAAGAAGATAGGCGCTATACACGCATGTAGTTGTGGGTTTTTTTTCTCAATAATTGTATTTTGTTTAAGATATTTCGTCATCTTAATAGGATTGTAATAAACCATAAAAAGAGTCTTGACCTTGTAGGAACTAGTTAACATCTATGCTTCTCACCAAGCATGAAAATAAATGTTCATTTGAATTGTTACAATTATCTACTTGAAATAGAGTGTCTGTGCTACAAAGGCAAGTGCATGCATCCCTTTTATCTGTACATTCCTGTACCTTAGACGTAATGTGAATTCATTCAGAGTTCCTGACTCAACCAAATACAATAGACCTCCAAATACAATTTAGAATTGATATGCAGATCAGAACTATAAAGTCAATTTAATGTTCATATCAGTCCAACTGTAGTTGTAATATTGAACCACTATCGGCGAGAAGAACAGTTTAGCGCTGAATGAGTATATAGAGTAAGTAAGTATATAAATAAAGTATTTCACCACCAGCACCGATTATAACATACAGGGGAAACGACACTGATACAAGATCTAAATAAATTTCTTCTAGTACGATCAAATTGCATGTACGTAGTTAGGTTTCGTCTTCCTATAGTTACGATGGACCACTAGACTTCTGTGAGAACATGCAGTCCCCAACAATAATAAAGATCTAGAACTATAGTGTGTATAAAAATATTACGGATCTTATATAACCAACAGAATATATATATATATATATATATATATATATATATATATATATATATATATATATATATATATATATATATATATATATATATATATATATATATATATATATATATATATATATATTTCTCGTTATATAAAGAAACTTCTCGGCGAACATGCCTGCATGGTTCGTTGCAGTTCTCGCGTGTTTGGGCTCATTGACATTGACTCGCACTTTAAGTATATGGCTCATGCACTGACTCGCACTTTATTAAAGCAGACCAAGACGATTGATAGTTTTAAATAACATGATGAATTATCAGATAGGATAGATAATATATTGTTTCTACGTCGCATAAGCCGTACGTAGTTTTGTTTTTCCTTAAGCCCGCCGCACACGAGAGCAACTTGCTGAGCTAACCGCCTCGCGAGGCAGCTAGCTCAGCTATGTATTTTCACCGCACACGTTGGGAAAATTACTCAACAACAACACAATTGACAAAATCATTTGCATTTTACTCCATTTTGTTCCAAGTCACATGAAGAAACCATTGTTTGTCATTGGCTAATTGATTCAAACAGCTCAGCACTTAGCTCACAACATCCGCAGACGCTGAGATTTCTTCCTCGCGAGGCGAAAAATATCAAACACGATAGATATTTTCCTCAAGGCCTCGAGAGGTCAAATCCTCACGAAAACTATCCGCACACGAGAGCAACTTGCTGAGCTAACTGCCTCGCGTGGCCGTTAGCTCAGCAAGTTGCTCTCGTGTGCGGCGGGCTTTAAGAAAGGATTTATGTTTTATAAACTTTACATTTCTATAAAGGATTGAATAATGCAGGTGATTAAACATGTGCAGCGCATGAACTGTTGCTGTGGCTAGCTGTATATTGTATATATACAATATATACAATATATACAATATATACAATCGATACAAGTGCAGCGTCACTGAGCAATAAATTCTTCACCTGAAACCGCCACGAATGATGGGTTTAAAAGATAAAGTGATCCCTACTGCGCGAACGTCAATAGGGAGTTTACGAACAGTAAGACGGCGACGTCAGGACGAAGGCTAAACAATCTGCTTGAAACGAATGATTGTATGTAAATCTGGTCTCGTATTTACTTTTGTGTGAAACGAAAATAATTTCGAAAGAGAAAAACAGAGTCAGAGCTTTAACCTTGAAAGCAACGTTGATAAATTCTGCTGGGAAAACTACTTGTCACGGCTTGAAATGCCGGCGTACTATATCAACTATACAAGACGTGAAAATATTCATTTTGCCGTTGTCAACAGAGCTTGCATGGCCAACGTCTAAAACCCCTGCTAGATTTTTAGTTATTAATTTCTTTTGTGCTATATGATTAATGCTATTGTGTTGATAACCGTAGTCCTGCAGGTCGCCGGCTTACATTCGGAAACTCCCTACATACATACTGACGTTAGCGACGATACATTGATACGTGCATGCAGTGACGGCCCGTACGTGCATGAACGTAATAGACCCCCTACTGTATAGACCGAGGTATGTATATTGATGCCAGCCCAATAGGACAATCGATAGATGCTAAATATTTTTTCACTGCTAAATCTGAATTGTTAATGATGTCGCAATTACAATGCGCATATCAAAGACAAAACTGCCGTATTGCTTCACCTGTCAACCTGCTATAAATGCTTTTAAAAGTTACTTAATTATCAAGAACAAGAAAGGATCGTGTTAATAAAATTCAAAAATTCGGTGAGTAAAATTACATGTACTGTACTGTACTTGGGGAAAGGGGGATAAGCCTTACAAAATTACGATGGCAAGTTTTATTGTCCAAGAGATTGTATAGCTATAGGATTAGTGTAATAAATTAGTGTAATAAATAAATTTCGATTGTAATTCAAACAAGGCTATAACGAAAAGGATATGTCTGAAGGTACCGAAGTTATGTTCGGCGAAAGGAATTAATATAATACATTGTTTGCATTTTTCGAACAATTTAAGTAATTTGGTGAATTTTGATATTACTTGACACCTCAATGGTCATTAGTCGCTATAATGTTTGTCTTTGACTAAAACTAGGAATTAGAAATTAGGAGTTACTGTATTGTTTTGCGAAATCGAATGGTGGTATTTTCTTCTACATAGCATTTACCGAACTGAAGATATGAAACCTTCAAAATAGTATTCCACTATCGGCATATTTAAATATTTTTATTAGGCCTTGTTCACACTAGCGGGTTAGATCGATCTCAGACCGATCTGTGACATACAGGTGTCAATATGAATTCAAGAATGAACTGGGATGGATATAAACGAGCCACTTCTTAAGGTAGTCTGCAATCGGTCCGAGATCAACCCACCGTAATATGCACGCAACGTGAACGGAAAGGTGAACTTAAAGCGAACTGAAACTCTGGTTGTACATGCATGGCCCTATCGTCATTTTATGCAAAATGTCTGCCATCCGCGGAGATGTTTGGACGGAAAGGGAAAGGGTAAGGGTTAGGGTTAGAGCAAACGATCGCGCTAATAAATGCACGGGGAAGCCAAACGATACAACTAAAACTACAAGGCCGTATAAACTCAAACGTATACCAATGCATAACAGAATAATAAACTAAGCAGGCGATTTGCGCTGACAGGAGCTGGAAGCAATGCAGAACTAAATGTAATCACTTGAAAGCTGATTGCAAAAAGTATAACGATTGCCTTAGCTTGCAAACATCTCGACGAATCTTCCTACGCCTTGACGAAACAACTTTTATAATAAAACCACGATCGGCCTTGTGAAATTTTCCCTCAATTTAAAAATTGACGGCGCTGAAGGTTTTAATGTGTTTTCGGGGAAGTGTGAACGCTTCCAAAACGCGAACTGAGATCGATCCAATTGGCAAACTGAGATTGACCGAGTTTGAATCGATGTCAGTATGAACAAGGCCTTAGGGCCTGTCGATAGAGACTTTTAAATTAATTGATAATTCTCGATAATTTGAAGATAAAAAGATAGGCGCTATCACGTGTGTTTATTCTTTCAATAATTTTATTTAAGATATTTCGTCATCTTAATAGGATTGTAATATAACCGTAAAAAGAGCCTTGACCATGTAGGACCTACTGTAGTTATCATCCACGCTTCTCACCAAGCACGAAAATAAATGTTTACCAATTTGAACTGTTGCAACTATATATCGATCTACTTGAAATAGAGTGTCTTTGTGCTACAATATAATGGCAAGTGCATTCCTTTTGTTTATACAATCCTATACCATAGAATAAAGATCCATATAGAAGAGCCACTTACGGTACGTCGGAAGCTTTGATGTTTCTGTCCTCGCGCATGTCGCATTACGCATGTTGGCCGCCATTTTCCTAGCCAGTCATTGACATTTTCTGGCCAATAAACACGCTGTACTGGTTGGCTGCTCCGCTTTCTGGCCAGTAAACTGCATATTTTTGCATAAAAAAACGAGGACACGTTGCACCGCTGAGTGGCCCTTCTGTTACTGATCTTTTTTCTGTGCCTATATACCTTAGACGTAATGTGAATTCATTCAGAGTTCCTGACTCAACCAAAAGCAATGGACCTCCAAATATAATTTAGAATTGATAGAGCTACAGTATGCAGATCAGAACTATAAAGTTAGTTTTGATGTTCATATCGGCGAGAAAAGCCGTTTAGCGCTGAATGAGTATACAGCTATTTCAATTAAGGTTGTCCACGAGCAAAGCGGAAAAGTCGAAAACGAGCGCGAAAGGCCGCTGGGAATTGCTATGAAAATTCATTATTTTTTTGCGATTCCCAGCAGCCTTTCGCGCTCGTATTCGACTTTTTCGCTTTGCTTGTGGACAACCTTAATTGAAATAGCTGCATGTATATACAGTAAGTAAGTATATAAATAATTAAAGTATTTCACCTCTGATTATAACATGCAGTGGAGCCGTGGAGGGGAAATGACAAATACAATATCTAAATAACTGAATTTCTTCTAGTACAGATAAAGTGCATCTAGTTTAGGTTTAGCGGTAATATTGATTTATATAGTATTTCCTGCGGATTTTATATTAGCTTATCACTGAAGCTTAGGCAGCGTTTACACTGTACCGTTTTCGTAGCGTTCTTGTATTGTTCTTAATCTTCAAGGGAACACAAGACAATAGTCTAGTTCTCTCGAACAATACGAGAACGCTACGAAAACGGTACAGTGTAAACGCTGCCTAAATGTGTATGTTAATCAGTTCAACTTCGGTGCTTTTTTATTAAATGTAAATTCGCTGATCACAGGAGGAATATACACTATAATGGATTAAGATTCTTTGCAGATATGTTTTCTCAGCGAGTTTAGTTCCAATCTTATTTTATTTCATTTATTCACAAGCTTTATCATAAATGATTGGTGATTCCTACAGAGCTTATTGCGGTATTCACAGGGTCACTTAAACTAAACATCAGTTACAATTTACATCAATTACAATATACACTTAATGTCTGCTCCCGACGGAAATAGTTTTTTTGTTCTCCCGAGAGTCTCAATATTTCCCGAGACAAAGTCGAGGGACCAGTCATAAAGTAAAGGGGGGGGGGTCATTATTTTTGAGCACGGTTGAAGGGGTGGGTCATCGAAAGTTAATTGCAATCATAACAGTGGGCCATGTAAAAATATGCAGAAATTTTTTCAAGGGCATGTGTATTAAAATTCATACTAGAAAATACATGCATGCAGAAACCCTCGCCTTGCTGACAAAACCATTGTATTTTCCGAACATGAAGTATCTAAAGTAGTTGTCATGGTAACACGATAATTTTTTAAGTATATTCTTAAAAGTGAAAAATCGCCTAAAAGTACCACTTTTAATTACAAAATTATTAATATTCCAACATATATATGTTAGGTATGTTATTTTACGTAATATAAGCCTCAATTTAAGGTAAAATTCAACCACAGACGCTTCGCAAAACGTTTTCAAGTCACTATAGTGTTATAAAACTAAACTGCCTTTTAAAATGGCTTTATCGATAAACTTTGAGTTTGCAAATAACTTTGCTTTCTTTTTTATTTAAAAAATTCAATATCATAAGAAAGGAATCAATATTAAAGATACACTGAAATTATATGCTGTTTTGTTTAGTTGTTTCATATACGCAAAGGCCGTCGGGTTTTAAATCCATTATAAAATCAATATTTACAACAAACTTACCTTCGTTAACGTCGGCTCCCTTCTTTTAGCCGATTCTTTTGCAGTTTCTTTCCCAGAGAGCTTTTGAAATTTACAAAATCTTGCAAAAATGCGAGCAAAATGAAATATATTTGCAAGAAATTTATCAATCATCAAATCAAGAAATGGTTGCTATTTCGCTGTCGTCATGCAGTCGTTATAATGCAAACTTTAAATTGGACCAATCAGTGTCCGCTATTCATGACAGTCCGCCATATTTTTGAGATCAGTGAGGATGACCACCCACGCACAGTGACCCACGCCCGCGATATTTGATGAACTTTAGATTCCGCTAATGCTTTCGTTTCCCCGGGTGTAAATAGCCGGGGGGAATTAGTACCGTCGGCTCGGGGATTATAAAAATAGAAATAAAATGTATCCGGATCCATGTGTAAAATTTATACCGCAAACGTTAACCTCTAACTTAAAAGCCGAATTTACTGTCTTGGCTAATCAGTGGCGGATACTAGGGGGGGGGGGGCTATGGGGTCCGAGCCCACCCCAATAATTTTGGCCGGAATACTGTAAAAATCTTGTACCAAATAACACAAATCACACTCGTATTACGTAATTGTCATCATAATATAATAATATATGTTTCTGTGCTGTACATGTCACAACATACGCATTTTATACAGTCTTTTTAACGGATACTAGGGGGCCAACTTTCTGCATGCAACAAGCACTTTTTTAAATGTCAGGCACTTTTTTGTTGTTTCAGGAGCTTATACCATTGTTTAGCGGCAAAATTTCTGCTGCAGATCAGAAAAATCAGCTGCACAATAATATTTGAATGAAAATCAGCTGCACAATAATATTTGAATGCGTATTAAACTATTATGCTAAAAAAACAATGGATCATTCAATTAACATCATCACTTAGCGAATAAATTTTTACATTGTCATTGACTTGTTAATTAAATTAAAGCACCTTGCAATTCCATTCACAAATGTAAATAATCATGTAAATATTTTCTCTTAAATGTTGGTTAACGTTTTCTACAGTTTGCATGTCATTTATAACAAAACGCACCATTAAAACTGTTTTGAAAACCTAGTTTTTTACAAAATGTGTTCTCAGAATGCAGCAAATGCTATTTCCGGGATTCGAATTTTAAATTTTTTCCGTGCCCCCCCCCCCTCCCCCCCAAGACTTCGTTAGTAATGGCTAACTAATTTTCTGATATTATTGTTAAATGTCACGAGCTTTGTGACGGTACCGTTTCGGCCTTATGGGCCTCGTCAGTGCTGATGAGCAGGATGAAAGTAACTGCTATTTACAGTTACCTTTGATGGCTCACGAATGTGGGACATCAAAACCATGCCAGAGCGCTCAAACTACAAGCAGTGAGCGTGCGCGCAATACGTAAGCGGCAATGGCTCATCCTGTAGAGCGCTCAATATGACTTAAAGACCATAGAGCGATATCTAACTACAGACGGTACTGTTTCGGCCTTATGGGTCCCATCAGTGTAGTGCTGATGAGCAGGATGAAAATAACTGCTATTTACAGTTACCTTTGATGGCTCACGAATGTGGGACATCAAAACCATGCCAGAGCGCTCAAACTGCAAGCAGTGAGCGTGTGCAATGCGTAAGCGGCAATATATATATATATATATATATATATATATATATATATATATATATATATATATATATATATATATAGTATAATTAAATAAGACGAGCGCAGGACGCATTAGCAAAGACCTGAACGAAGTTTGTCTAGATGCAAATTGCGCCTTGTGCATGTCGTAATGTTAAAAACGAATGTTTAGAAGGGCATGCAGGGCGTTCAGAAGGGCATGTTCCTACAACGTTACTTTTCAACGTCTAATTCTGGACGTTAATTAAACGTTGCCGGAACGTTGAACCAACGTCTTGTTCTAACGTTATAACGTTAATTAATCCTCACGTTACCACACCGCTCCTGCGAGTTCACAAAATAACTGTATCAACGTTACCTCGACGTTCGGCCAACGTACGTACAACGTTGGATTAACGTGATTGTATTGCTCCAGTTTTCATTCCTCTTCAACAAAAGGACTATCATATAACACAATCACTGAATCATTACTGCTTCCATATATTCCTGTAAACAACTCGTATAAGCACAGGCATCCCAGGATTATTTCGTTCTTCATCAACAAAAGGACTGTCATAATTTATAACACAATTGCTGAATCACTACTGCTTGTATAGATTGGTATATGTATGTACTGTAAGAAATCTACATAACTTTAGTATTTTACAAAATTGGTTAAGACTAATTAATTTTGAAGTTTGAAGCCTTTAATGTAAATACTTGATGTAACATATAATCTATATAATCTCGTTTACTTTTAGTTAGTATTATGTTTTGTGATGCGCATTTGATTATATATTATAACATGTTAATTTGCGCAATATAAATATTAAATATTATTATTATTATTCTAAACAGGTTTCATAACCTCCTTTTATTTTAACCCGACATAATTGATGACTGTTTGAATGGTGGGGCTGATAGTGATACAGGATACTTTCCTGGCCACTAGAGCACCAGAGTTCATAATTATGAAAGACACTCCAGAAAAAAATTATGAATTAATTTTATATAGGGCCTACATTATTTATTTTAACGTTCATAGGAGTCAACCGCGCCTAAAGCAAGAACAAAACAACGCAGTAAGGGACCGTTCATTATTTATACCCTAGGGTGGGGTGGGAGATTCTTATGTCATATATACTGAAAAAAATATAACCCCCCCCCCCATTTGTATAAATGTTGTAATACTGTAAAGAATACAGTATAAGCCAAGAGCCAGAACTATAATGGTTTCCCGTGCGTATTTTTTCTTTAAAATTATATTATCCTATCAGAACAATAACTTCCTATAATAAGGTTTTGCAGTAAAATTTACTCCAAAAATGGAGTAAATAAAGGAGTAAAATTTTCTCCAAAAAAGGAGTCGTTCTGTACCTTTTTTATTTACTCCACTTTTGGAGTCAATTTGACTCCTCGAAATTAACAGTGTATATAACATATTTTTAATAATTCCTTTGGGAACCTCGCCGTATTGTTCATTGTATACATTCGAGATATTTATCAGGGTGTGCTAATTAACTATACAAAGTATAACAAATTATTAATTGAAAATTAATGCACATTTACTCTGCAGTCTAACGCCATATTATATGTATATATATATATATATATATATATATATATATATATATATATATATATATATATATATATATATATATATATATATATATATATATATATATATATATATATATATATATATATATATATATATATATAGTTCTTGTAGTTTTGCATTATAAATTTTACACAAGCCAAAGCATTCATATTTGGAAAAAAGTTCCCACTTATCATTCCATGATGTTCAATTGGCCACTAGTGGACGAATTACTAAACTGCCTGTGGACAAACTACAAATTGTTAAATTGGCTACCAGTGGACAAACTAGTATATTTAGAAACGTGGTTCTCACATACAAATGTGTAAATAACCTTGCACCCGATTATCTGTGCAATAAATTTAGAAAAGGTCATCAATACATAAACGTCAGACTCGCAGACAGGACTCTCTGCAAATACCACTCTTCAAAAGTCCAGATGGTCAACGGTCGTTTGCCTATTGAGTTGCGCACATTTGGAATAATCTATAAAACAACCTGAATGATAGCACTTTCCTTAAAATCGTCAAGACAGCACATTTTGGAGAACGTTTAATAACTTACTAAACTTTGTGAATGGTCATAAATAATTGTAATTAACTAATTTCTCAAAAACCCTTTCAGGGATAAATTAATTAAATATCTAAATCTAAAATGTTCTATAGGTATGTAGACAGGTGCTACAATATTTACAGTTATTTTTGTACCCCTTCCCCTCCCACAAGACATCGAAAAAAGAAAATAGCCGCCATAGAACAAGATGAACTTCACATGACCTCCGCCCCTCAATTATCCCAACCCACCCTAGGGTATGAATGATGAACGGTCCCTTTAAACTTCATGCCATGTTTTAAAAATCTTACATTAATTCTTGATTCAAATACGATTCATATATAGAAGTTGAAATTAAGAAAATTCTTCAATAACGTTTTTGTATATTGACGAAACCTTTGCACTGAATAAAAAATTATTACAACACTTCCTTTACATAGACGCTCTTATCCGCCCCCAAACCTCGCTAACGAACTTCTACTGAACTGAGCTGTGCATCCCTATATCCCTGAAGCCAACCATTTGGCAGTGGGAAAGTAAACTGCCTTGATACGTTTTGCGAAAACCTTACATGAGAAACAAATTGCCGTTGTCAGTGTTATTATTTTGTTCTATAATTAGCCTGTAAATTAAAGATGGTCTTATCTTGAAATCTTCACTTTGACTTCGAATGGTTTAATGAATCGAATGCAACCATTCGATTCGAAGTGTATTGCATTGAAGTTGATATTTCTGAATCCTTTTCATTGTAGTAATTTGATCAGAAATCACCCATTTGACAAGACTTAACGTCCAAAAGATGAAAGACGTATCCAAATTCCGACTTACTTTGGTTCAAGGAGAAGATTATGGTAGCAACCAAGGCGAGTACTCTCGTACAGATGACAAAGTTCGAGGTAAGAACATCTGGCTCTCTCAAAGCATCAATCGAATGATATTCTACAGTGGAGATTCGTGGGGAGTGACCAATACCTATTACAAGGATGAAATTATGAATGAAACCAGTACGGGAAGTTTGGCGCATTCCAACAATGACGACGTCCCATACAAAGCTGATTGGGCCCCTCTTTACAAAGTCAGCGAAGTTTTCCTTTCTGCCGATGGTAAATGGGTTGCAGCACACGAGGTGTTCGGGTCTCCTTCAGTACATACTTGGTGGTCAGCTCCCAGTAATCCCGATGTTGCACAGCAGGGTATTACTTGGTTCTACAACGAGATCACTGTAACTGAGTCGGCAATCAATACGTACTACATGACAAATGGCTTCACTGGCGGCTACATGGGCATTCAGGATCGCACACCTAAATGGATACTCTTCTCCATATGGGACAAGACGTCAACAGAAGACGACCCTAACGCCGATCCTGAAGAATTGGTTAAGCTAATCGCCAAAGGAAAAGATGTGAAAGTTGAACGCTTCGGTGGAGAGGGAACGGGAGGAAAAAGCTATCTTGAATACGACTGGCAGGTTGGTCAAACCTACCAACTGATGGTCAACGTCCGACCAAGCCCAGAGTCGGACAAAGCTATTTTCACTGGTTGGTTTCGTATCCCTGAGTTGAATATCTGGCGAATGTTGGCATCATTTCAGGTACGACCACAGGCGCAGAGCAAGAAGCTTGAGAATGTTTACTCTTTTATTGAAGACTGGGCTGGAAATGGATATCGAAGGCAAGGGGAATGGGGACCAGCGTGGATTAAATCAGATAGTGGTTCCTTTGTACAAGCAACACGTGGGTCTGGTACAACCACAGAAAAGGATGCCTTAAACCGAACCCTCTTCTTGTCCAGTGACCAAAAGCGAATCGGAATGGCAACTGGAGGCCCAGCGTTGACAGATCCGTCATTAGGCCCTTATACGTGCTCAAATGCCCCTCTTCCATCGGTGCTATCTTTAAATCCTCTGCCAACAAAGGACGGGGACCCCGCACGTGTGTGATATCAACGCCTTTGAAACAATACATTTATACTTGGACTATCCGTTCCATGCACTTGCACTTTGAAGGCATTCATAAATAATTGAAAATATGCAATATAACTTTGGAGAAAAAATGTAACCCTGTGATCAACACTTTCAAATTTAAATTAAGCACGACTTGCACAGTAAAAGTTAACGTAAATATAACTGCCAACATATAGATTAGCAAAATAATAAAAGTATTTGCACCTGTTTAAACAAACTCTGTTTAAACCACTGGAAATAGTTAAATGTTTGCTATTGTTATTACCATTATATTCATATTTCCTTTTTTACACGTGTTAATCATAATCACAAATTAGTAAATCGTCGTCGCCGTTTTTATTGTGATTTAATTAAACAATAAGCTGTATACGTACAAACTCTCTCTGGGACAAGAGAATAATAAGTCGCTTGACTTCTAAAAGATCGCGCGGTCTTATTCCGCTGAAATTAGTTAATTTAATATAGATAGATAGATAGATAGATAGATAGATGGTTTATTGAACTTTAGAACTTACACCCTCAGAAAATTTCACAGCTGAATTACGCTAAGTTTAACAGATATAAGATATTAGGAATATATGCTATGAACCCTATTTACATTTAAGAATATTAAAAAAACAAATCGATTATCTAAATTATATATTAGAACTGTACGTGTTAAAACTATCATTAAGTCTGTTCGTTTTACACACAGGAAGTTCAAAATTTCTATGATTTCTTAAAAGATGATCGTCAATATTTAATGGCGGAAGGAGGTCGTATAAGTTATGATGTGAGTTGCTGGCTATTTCGTTAAACAACTTCGTTGTTAATTTTTGTCTTCGATCGTTCAGTGACAAAATGTTCTTGGTCTCCAAGACATCTTTGTAGTGCATATCAGGAAAAATTATGCGAAAAGCACGTTTTTGAAGTTTTTCTAAGTCATCGGACAGGTACTGCGGCAGCGAGTTATGGAATACTTCGCACGCGTACTCGACAACTGGACGAATACAGGTGATATAAAACAGGACCAGATCGTTGGGTGGCAATTTGGCACGTTTTAATTGTCTTAGAAAATATAGCCGTGTTGATACCTTTTTACAAGTATTCGAAATATGAGTTCCATTTGAGATCGTTAATAGTTCCATTTAATAATAGTTCCATTAATAGTTCCATTTGAGATCATTAGAGATGGTAAGGCCTAGTAATTTTGTGGATGTTACAACCTCAACATTTTTACCATTAATAGTTATGGGCTCAAATACTTTGTTAGGCCTAGAAAAGCTTATCCGGAGATCTTTGCATTTGGTTTCTTTTAATTGGAGGCCATCTGCAATTGACTTTCTGGCAAATTCGTCTACATAATTTTGGATTAAACTTGAGTCATTTCTACTTACGGACTCAGACATAGTTGTATCATCACATACTTCCACAGACCGTCAACACCAGATACATTTACATCGTTTATCATTATTACGAAGAGTCAGGGGCCTAACTTCGTGCCTTGAGGGACACCTGCGGGTACATCACTCCACTCTGAGAAGCAGTCATTGCTCAGTTTCACTCGCTGTTTGCGGTTACTCAGGAAATCTAAAATCCAGTACATAATGGTTTTAGGAATGTTATATCTTGTAAGCTTCTCCGATAAAATGTTATGATCAATCAGATCAAAAGCTTTCCGAAAGTCAAACAAGATAACGCGGGTAGTAGAGCCATTTCCGTCTGTATTTTTTATCCAGGTATGTAACATGGAGATGAGGGCATGTGTGGTGCAAGATTTAGGCACAGTACCAAACTGTCTCTTATCGATCCTTTCCATCACTGCTGGTTTCAGATAACGGTTCACAACGAAATCTTCCGCCAGTTTTGACAATATCGGTGTAAGTGAGATCGGTCGCAAATGATTGTTAATATCTTGAATAGATTTTTCCTTTGGGATTGCGACTACGTCCGCCTCCTTCCATAAAGGGGGAAGGCAACATTCACGATAGGAGCAATTGAGGATATCCGTTACCGAACCTGCTAATAAGTCGGCATTTTCCTTCAGTAACCACGGAGGTATGTCATCAGGGCCAACAGCTTTTTTTGGATTAAGTTTTGAAAGCTTTTCAAAGACGACATCGGCCGACACGGTAAGTACAGTGTCTGTCAGTACACTTTCAGTGCAGGAATGACAATGAAGATCCAAGGAAAGAGGTGCGAATATGGACATTGGGGACAAGAAGGTATTGTTAATCTCGTTTGCTAAGTCTTTCTTTACTGCACTGGAAGAACTATCATTGGGTCTTAAGGCTTTCACAATCTTATCAGAGTTTTCCTCAACTACTTTCATACCGCTGAGTTTTTTGACCTCGTTCCACCAAGCATTAGACTTACATTGTTTCAAATGTTGAACAGTGGTTTTGTAATATTTAGCTCGGCAGATTTTCCTCTGGCGATTGACTTGGTTCCTCAAACTTTTGAACTCCTCGATATTTCCCTGGTTAAGAGCTTTTTGACGATTTATAATAAGGCTCTTTAGTGTCGAGTTCATCCAGGGGCGATCGTTAGATTTAATCTTTTTCCTTCGTAATGGGAGGACATAATCTAAGCCAGTTTTAACAATAGTTTCCAGAAGCGAGGCTTTTTCATCACAAGAATCAACTCTGCTAAGCATTTCTGGGATATCTACAAGCTCAAGATATTTACGCATTGCAAGACGGGAACTAGGCCGCAAGTCCCTCGTTTTTACCGTAAGTTTTGACTTTTCTTGGATATTACGACGCTCGACTGGTCTCACCTCAATAGACATATGGTCTGATAACCCAAAGGGGGCACACTTAGTAGGTTGATCAAAGAATGCGTTAAGATTTGTTAAAACAATGTCAAGGGTATTGTTTCCGCGGGTTGGAAAATTGACAAGCTGTTTTAAATCATAGCCAGTTCTTAGACGTGAGGTATTAAGTTTATATGAGCTAATATCCTGCTACTAGAGAACCAATCAGATTGCAGAATACTATAGCGTCATATTTCCGCCAAAATTAAAGATCGTATTTGCAACATTATATTTATTTATTTTATTTATTTACTAATTCGCCCAAATTACATAATATAAATAAAAAATAGAAGTATTTACAATAATAGGGCTAGGAACCTTCTAGAAACCATAAGGCTTTTTAATTAAGGTCCCTAGTTACAATTTTAAATTAAATTAATATTATAATAGATTACCAGTTCAAATATTTTTAGATAAAGTAAGGTGATATATGTACAGCATATATATATAGAGAGAGAAATAAGGAAACTGCAAGATAGGATATTAGATTATATTACAACAATTTAATTCTGTCGAGAATTCTATTTTTGAATTAAGAATGAAGAAAATACTTTTTCATTGCCGTTTTGAATATTGGAAAAGATCTAATTTCTTTATATTGGAAAGGAAGATTATTCCACACATCAATTCCTTTGTTAGAGAGAGTGTGTTTGTTATAATTTGTTCTATTATATTTTTTGTGAAGCGAAGATGCATTTCTTGTGTTATAATTATGGATATCTTTGTTGGTCATAAAATAATTGGTAAAAATTTCTGGAAGATTATGCAGATGAAAATATTGGAACATAAATGAACTTGTTAAGTATTCATTTAATTTGTACAAGTTCAATATTTTTAAATCATTAAAAATTGGTTCAGTATGGTCAGAATATGATTTGAAAGTCATTAATCTTACTATCTTTTTTTGAATATTTACTAATTTTTGAATGTGAGATTTGTAGGCATTACCCCAAATCAGGTTGCATAAGTAAGATATGGATAGACTAATGCAAAATAGATCAGTTTTAGGGAATTTAGGTTTGTAAAATGTCGAATCCTGGAAATAATAGCTGCACATTTGATAATTTTCTTGGAGATCAGATCTATGTGATCACGCCATGTTAAAAATTCGTCAATAACAATTCCTAAGAAAGTAATGTTTTTTACTTGTTTTATATTTTCTTTATTTATTGAAATCTTTAAATCATGTTTAGATTTTTTATTTCTTGATCTAAAAAGAATGAGTTTGGTTTTCGTAGTATTTAGAGATAATTTATTAACGTTCAACCAATTTGCAATTTTATTCATTTCAATTTGAAGAATTTCATTTAAAGTTTTAAGGCAAGTATCACTGTACAGTATATTTGTGTCATCGGCAAATAATATAATTGAAACCAATTCACTGCAATACTGAATATCATTTATATATAAAAGAAACAATATAGGACCCAATACTGATCCCTGCGGGACACCGCTTGTGATAGTCATTTCTTCAGATTCAACGCCATTATATTTTACTAACTGTTTTCTATTATACAGATAATTTTCGAACCATTTTTTGGCTACTCCTCGTATTCCGTAATGTTCCAATTTCCTTATCAGAATCTTGTGATTAATTGTGTCAAATGCCTTTGAGAAGTCAAGGAAAATACCAACAGAGAATTTCCCTTGATCAATCGCTGTAGTGATTTTATCAACGAAGTCAATTATAGCATGTTCTGTTGATCTGTTTTGTCTGAAGCCATACTGATGTTTTGATAATATATTGTTTTTATCAAAAAATTGTGTTAGTCTTTTGACCATACGTTTTTCTAGCAATTTGGAAAAACAAGTTAGAACTGATATTGGTCGGTAATTTTCAAACTTGTTATCTTCATTACTTTTAAAAATTGGCGTAATTAATGCGACTTTTAAATTGTCTGGAATAATACCAGACAAGAATGATAAGTTAAAAATATGTGTTAAAGGCTTAGAAATTTCCTTGGTAATTATTTTTATAATTTTAGCATTAGTGCCATCATATCCAGAACTTTTGTTCGACTTTATATTTTCAAGTTCAATTTCAAGTTCATTTTCTGTGACAGCATTAATGAAGAGACTAGACTGATAACTACCATTTAGATATTTCTCAAAGGTATCATTATCATTACATTTTATTGTTTTGCTAGGTTAGGACCAATGTTAATGAAGTAGTCATTGAATTTGTTTGCTATTTCTTCCGGGTCCTCTATAATATTTGATGAATTACTTTCCACAAAAGTTTTTGTTAGTTTATTATTTTTAGTTGGTTTATTAAGTAGTTCATTCAATGTTTTCCACATCATTTTTTAATTTTGCTTATGCTTAATTAACTGTTCTTCGTAATAGATTTTCTTAGCTATTTTTATAATATGGTTTAGTTTATTTTTATATTTTATATATTTTTGCTTGTTTCTATCACTTGGGTTTATAAGGAAGGTTTTGTATAATTTATTTTTATTCTAACAGATTTTAATATGCACCTAGACATCCACTGGCTTTTAATCTTATTTATTTTTAATTTGTTTTGTTTTCTTTTAAGTGGAAACTGTGCGTCATATACATTCATAAATAATCTCAGAAACTCATTAAATGCTTTTTCAGGGTCATTTGTTTCATTTAATACCTCCTTCCAAGAAAGATTTTTAACTGCATTTTTGAAAACGCTGATATTAGTTTCACTATATACTCTTTGATAGGTTACTGTAGCTTCATTTGCATTTCTGTTTTTACCAAAAATGTTTGTGTTAGACACATGCACAATTGGTAAGTGGTCTGAAATATCGCTAAAAACAATACCATTTATACTATCATTAAGTTTTTCTAAATTATTAGTGAAAATATTATCAATTAGTGTTTCATTGTGATCAGTAATTCGTGTTGCTTTAGTTATTAATGGGAAAAATGACGAAGTGAATAATTGTTCGATAAAGCGGCTCGTATAATCACAAGACTCTGATTTGAAAAGATCAATGTTAAAATCTCCCATTAAATAACACAATTTATTTTCTCTGTCAATTTTTTCTAAGATTGTATTCATAATGCTTTCAAACGTCGCAAAATTTCTATTTGGTGGTCTATAAATAACCCCAATGATACGCAAAGCAATGTATATGCAAAGCATCAATCAAATTTTTAAAGAGTCAAATTTGTTCGAAATGCTTCTTATGTTTAGATGTAATAGCGAAAATTTTTCATGTATATTTTCATTTTCTATTCGTTTTTTGAAATCCTCTGGTAAGTAATAATCATACTGTATTTTGTTTGTATTGAAAGATGAATCAAGTTCAAAATCATTGTCGGAAAGCGCTGTATTTTGATTTGTTTCAAAAGGACTAAATCGTAATTGGCTTAGTCTATCCATATCAATGGGATACGATTCTGCCTGCATATTTGTATTATTCAACGATTCAAACTCATTGTTGTTAAGATTTTTAAATAGTAAATGTTTGTTATTGTTATTATCTAGAGATTGTTGCGCCATTCTATGCTAATATATAGATATATATATATATAGATTGTATAAAGATTGGTAAGAGATAAATAATTCAAGATACATCACAAACAGTGTTTGAAATTTGATGCCAATATTCATTCCTTACTAGGTTCAACATAAAGTTGACCTTCGATAAATAATTTGTCCCTAACCATTTTAACTCGCTTTTTTCTTGTTTTGCTTTCTTTAATATAGGATATAATCGTTTTCTTACTTTAAGTATTTCCTCTGGAAATTGCTCCGAGATCGCAATTCCTGATCCTTTTAATTTTCTTGCATTGGCCAGAATTCGCTCTTTGTTGGGATAATAGTTAATTAATTAAAGGGTATTGGCAATAAAAAATTTTATTGCTTTATCTGAAAGAGCATGAAAAAATAAGCCGATTGGCCGTTTACTGTTCTATTCTATCTCATCTGGTTCCGAAGTTATACGCAAAAATGAGCAAAATATAAATTGCTGATTCAGCACAACGTGTGACGTCATTGGTAGGGTAAGTATGTTTAATGAATAGTAAACTGAAGCATAGCTCAGTTATTATTGGCTCAAATCAAATGACATTTTGCATACAGATAGTACATGATGAGACGCATGGGAAAATACTTCTAATTTTGTTGTCAAGGCAACGCAGTCGTTCCCAGGCCCCTTACACTGATTTTGAATAACTAGTTGCATTTATCTATGTGTATATCATTTTCGAATTATTAACATGCAAGTAAACTTTTGGCATGCATAGGTATGGTACACATACTTCTGACATTATTTTATTCTTATAAGTACCATGAATAAAGCTGTTTTATAAAATTGGCGCAGGGGCCTGGGAACGGCATTGTTACCTTGGCAACAAAATTAGAAGTGTTTTTCAATGCGTCTCATCATGTACAATCAGTATGCAAAATTTCATTTGATTTGGTCCCATAATAACTGAGCTATGCTTCAGTTTAGTATTTATTAAACATACTTACCCAACCAATGACGTCACACGTTGTGCTGAATCAGCAATTTATATTTTGCACATTTTTGCGTATAACTTTGGAACCAGATGAGATAGAACAGAGCAGTAAACGGCCAATCGGCTTATTTTTTCCTGCTCTTTCAGATAAAGCAATAAAAATGTTTAGATTTAAAAATGTTGGAAGCGAAACCAGGATTCATAATTAATTGTGTAAACGTTCTCTGGTTAAAAAAGATTTATTTATTAACAAGCTTTCGACTGCCAGTCTGCAGTCTTCGACGGGTAGATTTATAATGTGCTAGACTGCTAGTGATATAAGATATGATACAGAATGAGTAGTGCTATACAAGAACGGTTTACAATTACATTTACTGACAAAAGACAATTACTGACAGTTCCGCCTACGTAAATATATTGTGTAGAATTTAAAGTTTTTTGAGCAAAAAGCGATATTGTTCTGGCAAATGTTTTGAGTTGTTATCAGCGTCTTTCATGCATGCAGTGTGCCAAGACTCTAACGTCGATCTGTGTCGATAGCTTCCCTTGTCAATTATTTTCCCGTTCTTAAAATCAATTCTGTGGTCGTTTGCCCACGCATGATTCGCGATATGGCGAGACAGGCAGGGCCTTTATAACAAGAAAAAAAGAGCACGAACGAAACGTGAAAAAATGCAAGAGTGGCTCTAATATCGCGAATCATGCGTGGGCAAACGACCACAGAATTGATTTTAAGAACGGGAAAATAATTGACAAGGGAAGCTATCGACACAGATCGACGTTAGAGTCTTGGCACACTGCATGCATGAAAGACGCTGATAACAACTCAAAACATTTGCCAGAACAATATCGCTTTTTGCTCAAAAAACTTTAAATTCTACACAATATATTTACGTAGGCGGAACTGTCAGTAATTGTCTTTTGTCAGTAAATGTAATTGTAAACCGTTCTTGTATAGCACTACTCATTCTGTATCATATCTTATATCACTAGCAGTCTAGCACATTATAAATCTACCCGTCGAAGACTGCAGACTGGCAGTCGAAAGCTTGTTAATAAATAAATCTTTTTTAACCAGAGAACGTTTACACAATTAAAAAATGTTTAGCTTGCACACAATGGCTCGTGGTCTTGCTGAGCGCGGATCTTGTTTTCCCAATCTGTGTGCGCGATGATCAATTTTCACTGAACTTTTCGCGTTTTCAAGCTCCAATTGATTTTCCAATACATTGTGTATGATATCGGTCACATTTTCATCTTTCGATTCCTTGATATTATAAAATATCAAGTTGTCGCGCATCGACCTTGTTTGGAGGTCAATGACGCGATTTCTTAGTGTTGTATTCAAATCTTCCAATTTTTTAACTCTCTCGTCCATTTTTGTTTCTCCTGCTTTGCGGCTTTCGTTTTCTTTCTTCAAATCTATCACTTCCGCGTGTACGAATTCGATAGAATCTTTCATATTTTTCAGATCATTTTCAATCGATTTAACACGGCTGTGTTATTGTGAACTTTATTTACCCACGGTAGACTTATCAGGATTTTACATAAAAGATGATAAGAGAATACAATATAGTTACAGATTACAGAATATAAAAGTTAATTAAGATACTAATTATGTATACATACTATAGTAATACTAATTATATATTACAAGAATACCTGTTTTCCATAAGTGCCGTGCTAATGTATTAATATAAAAATCTAAAATTATTGACTAATGTATAAAGTTGCTGCAGTCTGACTTGAATTTACGTAATGAGTTAGACTGTCTCAACTCAACCGGAAGGGAGTTCCACAGCACAGAACCACTATAGCTAAAACTATTTTTCAGGTAATTTGTGCGTGGTTGAGCTAAAGCTAATTTTCTACTGGTATCTCTCAATGTATAATTTGTTACGCTACTTCGATCAACAAACATTTCAGACAGGTAGTCTGGCACAAAACCATTAAGAGATTTATAGACCATTATAGCTTTGGCAATTTTTCGCTGAGATTCAAGGTTTTTCCAGCTCAATTTTTCAATTAGATATTCAGCATTTGTATCATAACTAGATGAAGTAAGTACTCTAGCGGCTTGATTTTGGAGTTTTTGCAGTTTATTCGCAAGAGTACTGCCGCAACTATCCCAGACAACGCAACAGTAATCGAAATAGGGTTGAACTAAGCAATTGTAAATAAGTTGCATTGTGGAAGGTGGGACGAATGGCCTTATACGCTTTAATGCACCTATGCCAGAAGCGACTTTTTTGCATAATTTCTCGATATGAACATTCCAAGTCAAGTTCTCGTCTAAATGTACACCAAGTGACTTTGTGTGAGAGACTTGTTTAATTGGTACGTCATTTATTGTCAGTGAAGGACTAGAGTTGAAAGTACTAATCCTTTGACGGGAGCCGATTAGCATAAATTCTGTTTTAGATTGGTTTAAAGTAAGTTTGTTGGCTACTAACCACTCACTGACTTTACCAAGATCTTCGTTGAAGTGATGATCAATGTCATCAATATCGTTACTTGCGTAAGTCAAATGAGTGTCATCTGCATACATGCGTGCACGTGAGTGAGAGAGGCAATTCGGGAGATCATTGATATAGATTAAGAATAAAAGTGGCCCCAGAATAGTTCCCTGGGGAACTCCGCAACGGAGTAAACGATTTGTCGAAAAATGATATTAACGAAACATTTTTGTTTCCGTTCACTGAGATATGATCTGAAGCAGTTGCCAGCAACACCATTGATGCCATATGAATTTAGTTTTCCTAAAAGAATCTCGTGGTCTACGGTATCAAACGCCTTTCTGAGGTCGAGAAACAGGACAGCATTTACGCTTCCATGATCGATATTATAAGCCCAATCGTTAGTGGCCTCAAGAAGGGCGGTAACAGTAGAATGTAGACCACGAAATCCCGACTGACAATTAGTTAACAGACTATTTTCAGATAGAAATAAATACAGCTGATCATAAATTATCCTTTCGAAAACCTTAGCCACTACCGAGACAATGGAAATCGGACAATAATTGTCAGGGCAATTACGTTTCCCTTGTTTGTGTATTGGGACAACTTTAGCGTGTTTCCACTCATCTGGGAATACTCCGGAGACAATTGATCGATTAAAAATGTAGCTAAGAGATTCCGCTATTAAATCAGGGCACTCTCGAAGTAGGCGGGACGAAATTTTGTCCAGACCAGTAGCTTTTGACCTACTTAGCTTGGACAAAAGGACGAAAACTGCAGAGAAATTAGTTTCTTTTAATTGAAAACGGATGTTGTTATTTTGACTAGGTAAATAATCGAGATAACAACGATTATTCTGATTAACATCTACATTATCTGCAAGCTTCGGACCAATGTTAGAGAAGTGTTCATTAAAAGCATCAGCAATTTTGTTGGAATCGTTAATCAAATTACCATCCAAATCAACTTCGTGAATATGCGAGCTTTCGATTTTTAGATGTGAGATCATTAATAATATTCCAGGTCTTTTTCGAGTTGGATTTATTTTCAGAAAACGCACGTTTAAAATAGTTTTCCTTCGCCCGGGCAATATTTTGATTTACGGAATTTCGCATTTTCTTAAAAATATGCCAATCTAAAGGATCATTAAACCGGATTGCCTTGATTTTAAGAATATCTCTATTGTGCATTTCACCTTTCAAGTGAGATGAAATCCAAGGCGCTTTAGAGGCCTTGACACGCTTTGTGCGTAAAGGAGCATGCTTTTCTACAACAAAATTAAATGTGTTTTTCCAAGTATGCCACATATCATTAGGATTCTTAAATTGATGGATAAAGTCCCAGTTTTGCTGACTAATATCATTACGAAATTTGGCAGAATCAAAGTTTTAAACTTTCTATAGCTTACTGTAGTATGTCCTCTTGTCGGCATTCTGGCGGAAAGTTTTCTAAAGGCATAAACAAGACTATGATCACTTATACTAATGTGAGAAACACCAGAGCAGACCACTCTATCAGGAGCGTTTGTAAAAATGTGATCTATCAATGTTGACGATGAACTTGTAATTCGAGTTTGTTCAGTTATCAGTTGTTGAAGATCGAATGTTTCAGCAATATCAATGAGCAACCTTGAACTATGATCCAAGACTGTAGAGCTTAAATCACAATTCAGGTCACCCACCAGATAGTACTCAATATTTTCAGCATCAAGTTTGCCTAGTAGCGTTTCTAGGTGATTAAACTTATCCACGACCGAATTTGGTGGCCTATACCATGTCACTATAAGAAAAGGCTTAGATCTAGGTTTATTGATTGAAATGCATAAATTTTCCAATTCATCAAATTTCAAATCGTATCGTACCGAAAAATTAATGCAACTTCGTATATAAAAACAAACACCACCACCGCATCTACCGTTTAAGTATCTATCGCGGCGAACAATTTCATAACCTTGTATGTGCACCTCATTATCGCTAACCGCAGAATCAAGCCTTGTCTCATTGATAGCCAAAACATCAATAATATTATCGGCTAGAAAAATTCGAAGTTCCTCAATGTGTTTTACTAAACTAGTTATATTAAGTGACGCAATTTTGAAACCACTCATCTTAGGTAAAAGCGGATTTATGTCGCTATTAGTATTAGAATTGACAGCATTCGCATTATCAAGAGACTCAGCAACATTATACGTAACAAGTCATTCATTAAAATTGTTAGTAAATTCAATAAAATTGTTTTGTAGAGTTTCGCTGCCTTGTTTATTTAAATGTAGACCTTTATTGTTCAAGTGAGAATTGTTCACATTAGCATTTCTTAAGAATGGTATCTTATTCATACGACAATAATTATCTAGGATAAAGTTAACTTGTTTAACTTTAGTGGCTAGGTTTGCATTATCATTTCTGGTCAACAAAGCTGATACACCTACCACTGTAGTTGGCGAGTCTTCCTTTATCTGGGTCGTCAGATTCAGTAATGAATCCGCAATTACTTTTGCAGGAGAATTCTTTAAGTCGTTCGTTCCAACATGTAAGATGATTTTTTCGGGTGATTTTCGGGTGATAGGTTTAATGAAATCTTCCATATCAGAAAGATTTGCACCAGGGAATGCTTTAACGACGTAATAGTGATTAGGGTCAGTTTTGCTCATGCTTGCTCCGACAACATTCTTAATTAGTGAATCACCAGCAATTACCACCACTTCTTTTGCTCTATTCTTGCGCGCGGTAGCTGCAACATCGTCATTCACATTTTCCATACCGCTAGTGGGGGCAGCATGTGCTTGACGAGGCGGAGAAACATTTTTTTCTGCCGATTCAATGTCCTCCTTGGCCTTCATTTTCTTCTTCTTACTCTTTTTCTGCTTTTTCGACACTTTAGGAGCGGGTTCCTTCGATACTTGAGAACTGGGATCAATATTTGCATCAACCATATTCAAATTTAGAAGTTGTTTTGTAAGCATTTCAACTGTTTTGATTAAGCTAGAGTTGTCGTTTTGCAGGCGGTTAATTTGCATATACTCGCTTGACTTCACCGACTTCTTGAGACAAACTATATCAGCCTTCAGTTGATCAATTTCTTCTCTCTGCTTGATACAAGAGGCGCAGCAAGAATTTGCTTCGGCCAGATCGGCAGAGGAGATATCAGCGTTTTCATTCATCGCATCTCCATTCTCAATAGTAATTTCTCTGCAGTCTTCGTTCAATTGCTTGTAGTTTTGGCGACAACTGTCCAATATAAGTTCAATCAGACTCGGTTCTGCTTCGGTGGCTTTACTTTCGAGAGAATAAGCTTTCAACGAAGCGTGCACGCCTTGGTTTAAGTGCGAAATTATCCGTTTGGTCACTTCCTCGCCGTTTTCGCCCTCAAAATAAATATTCTGACTCTTTGTTTGCCAGGTAACACACAGTGCCTTGCTGTCGAATTTCCACGTACCACCGCTAGGCGATCGCCAGGTTGTAGTCCACTACAGTGAGCACGACGGCTTTCAGATCTTCCAACGAACCAGCCCATTTAAGTTTGTTATTCTTATAGCAGAAATGGCTGTACAAAATGTTTACAGTATTTAAGGAGCTTTCTATATTCAATTCACAATGTCTGGAATCATCACTTTCCACAAAACTTGATAAAGATTCGGCCAATTTTTCAGAGCTCAAGTCTACACGTCCGTTCTCCATGATTAAGATTCACACACATTTGTTTTAGGATCGACTTGCCACAGCCAATTTTGTGTAACAGATTACCGTAGTAAAAGCCGTTATCCAGTCAATAAATGTGCATCTACAAGCTAGAAATCCTCGATACGATGGCTATATATAGATTATTGGCATGTTTGGCATTACAACAATATTGAACTAATAGCGCAAAAGATGGTAGTTAATAAATGAATTTTTAAGGATTTGCGAAGCAAAATCCTTTATGTCATCGGGCGTATGAGATAGATAGATAGTAACACATTAGTGACGTTGAGTCCCGAGTCGAGTATTCGTGAACCGCCGGAAGCTATTATCCGCAATTTGTGTTTGTCCATATTCGCAAACTTTCGGGCAAAATCCCTGCTCATTTTCGTAGAATACACCAACGACTAAACATTGTACCATCTATATACTTTCAGCTAAACGAATGAATATATGACTATTTTGTGCTAGAAATACAAATGGAAAAGGTCGTAAAAGACAAATTCGTTCAACTCAGGAGCGGCCGTATAAAATAAAATCAAAAGCGGTGTTTCCACTATAAAAACTGTATTGTTCCATTTTTCATTCGTATTCGTTGGAAATGAATTAGAAATGTAATTGCCTGTTGCGGATGGCGGAAACTTCTAAATAATTTTGTTGTTTTTATCCAAACGTTAAATTATAAAATATCTTCAACATTTCTAGTTTTTCTTTTATCTTTGAGGCAGTGATAAAGCCATTTAAAGGTTATAGTAGATTAACTTTAAATATAACAGTAATTAAACAAAAGTTGACATTCGAAGAAAAGATTTGTCATGCATGATGTTGTGTTTTGTTATACTACATTTTGGGCGATATTTTTGCATCGTTCTTGCATTATGAACTGATATTTGTCAATCTTTCTTGAATTATAAAATTGACAATAAAATTGTAAATCTTTACGTACTCCTTGAGTGCCTATTTTTTAAATATACTATGGTGTATAATATTGTCAAATGAAGTCGTCTCTACCGTATTGTGTAAAATATGAAGCAACTGCAAAACCGTATTGTGTAAAATGCAAAGCAACTGATCTTTTATTTACCTGTTCGTTGTTATTGAACACTTTCTCGTTGGTTACATTAAAGGTTGTAATTTGTCTACCGTGAAATATCGATGAAAACTTGAAATAATGAGCCAACTCAGAAGAATCCACATTTTGTTGCAATGGATTATACGCTGACGCGCCTTCACCTTGATCTACAATTGCCTTGATCGCTTCTAAAGCACTATCATAATCGTTAACCTCTCTGAGAATTTCCGGGTCTGACCATTTCAATTGTTTTGTTTTTCCAGTGAAGATGTCTTTCTTTCCACAAATGCTTAATTGTCCAAGGATGTACACCACGGCCATGTATAAATCACCAATTGTGTTATGGTTTGTCTCAGTTAACTTTTTGTTAGGAAGTGGAAACAATTTAAGAGCTTCTCCACATATTCCTGCATAATCACCACCTTCCGAGAAAAATGTAAAAAGTTAGCAGTAAAATAACAGAGTACAGGAAAACAACCGATAACCAAATTTTTAATACAGAACCTCGAACGGCTGTGTTTGGAACAATTCCGCGTGTATGCGTGGAGAAAACAGATTAGTTGGGAGAATCTTGTATAAAATAAGTTAACTGCATGTGCATGATTATACATAAATCCATACTCCAACCATGGTTTTTTTGTAATTTGATTATTCTGCCAAGGCATCACAATTGTTAAAACCAACTTTCTAGGAAATGAAATTTAGATTTTGCCCCAACTAAATTCACGGTGTATTAAATATTTTTCAATATTTGATGCATTTGTAATAAAAACTATATACTCAGAAAAAAATAAGGAAGATCTTTGGCATAATTTTGTCCCATCATCGTTGTAGTTGTGAAAGTAGCGCAACGACATTAAAATTTTTAAACGATCGAATGGGAAAGAATTATGCTGGATGTGAATTGCCGTAATTAAATGAATGATTAATTCAAATTGATAAGATTCTTGATATATATTACCGAGTAATTTAAGCAAGCGACGTTCTAAAAAGTGTGCCAGTTTGTGCTAATCTTCAACACATATGACAAGACATAATTATATTAATATTAGTAATTCATCAACACTGAACGCAGGCTCGCGTTTACATCAGTGTTGCCATGGCAACACGATAATTTTATGAAAAATGCATTTTTGAATATAACGTTAACAACAATTGTCGCCTGAAGACGGACATTTAAAATGTCCTAAACGTTGCAAATTTAAATGAATTAACCTTTTGTATATATCCTTGAGAAATAAAAATGAGAAAAAAATTCCTAAACATTGAACATTCAAAGCAAACTTGCCCTATATTTAATTTCACGATTTTCCATAGTAAATCAATTCTCCTTATTTTTTCAAACAAAAATTGCTTTAAAGCTCGTTGTATGAAACGTGATTTTCTAAATATATGCTTTTGAAAATTGAAATCTTGCATTAATATCCTCAGTGTACTTATCCCACTCCTGGCAAACAGCCATATTTTTGAGATCAGTGAGGAAGTCCATGCACCCTTGGTTCATGCATAGCCATGCGCCCACGATATTTGATGAGCTCTAGACTTCGCTAGTGCGTTCTTTTCCTAGAAGGCCACGATATTTGATGAACTTTAGACTTCGCTAGTGCGTTCCTTTCCTAGGGGGTAAATAGCCGGGCGGAATTAGTACCCTCGCCGCCCGGGAGAACGCCCGGAACGGCGCTCCGCGCCTTGGCTCGGGGATAATAACAAACCTAACAAATATATGATTGGCGAAATTGATAATTTTGTAATTAAAAGTGATATTTTTAGGGGGTGTTTCAATTATAAAAATACTCTTTGTGAAATTATCGTGTTACGATGACAACTACTTTAAATACTTCTTATTCGGAAAATATAATGGTTTTGTCAGTAAGGCGAGGGTTTCTGCATGCATGTACTTTCTAGTCTATATACATAATTCTGGTTGGATAAAAAATTTATACACAATAAGATGAAAAAAAACTGACAAATCTCGTTTGTACACATGCAGTGCATTTCAATATGTTGCCACTATTTATTAGGTGGATATCAGAATTTTAGGTTTAGACTAAGTGGATGCCTTCAGTAGTCACACCGAGAATGCCCGTTGTCATCGAAAATTTAACTGTTTTTAAACGTTCACAAGACCCTTATCAATTAATCCGTAGGATCGCCACAAATAGAAGACAGCGCTAACCTGCATGGTTTATTATAGAACACGATCTCTCAAACGTTTAAATTTATACAGATGATGCATGGCAAGTTATAAACGGTTGATAGATACTTAAACGCCATTTGTACAACCAACCCAACACATATATATTTTTTTACTAATAGGTCAAAGCCAAAATCAAAATTGCGCGATAACCTTAAATATACGATGCTGTTAAATCCTGACAAAATTTTAACGCGTTTAAAACGGCTACTCGATATCCCAGCATAATTAAACGATTTCGGATGATTAAAACGTCAACTAAAGTACTTCATACCTTCGCTGGTTTCCGTTGCAGGACGCAGATGGGCTATTAAAGGATGAAAGGTAAAAAATGTGTAAATGTCAGCAGGAATTAGCACTCAGGAATTGTTTAGTTAAATTAACGAATAATTGGTATCGGGTTATTTTAGCATTATCGCAGTACACAATCTAGATCGCTGGAATTATGTATATTTCCGATTGTCTAAAACCGATTGTTGAGAAAATACGCACTTTATTAAAAGATGATATATATTGCGCATTGACATTCATCGCGTTTTACGCAATATGTTGCAGTCTATAAACTGTGGTTGCCGCGACAAGATTAAATGGTGAAGCATGCATCTATATGGTTTTAAAAAAACTTTGGTTGCCGCGTAACATGTTACAGTATGTTAGTACGGTGGCCCATAGGGACATGCTATAAATATAAATATCAGCCTTTGGCTTTTTATTAAAGCCTTCAGAATTTTATTTAAGGCCTTCAGAATTTTAGTTAGGGGCTTCAGAATTTTATTTAAGGCCTTCAGAATTTTACGTGTAAACCCTTCGAATTTTATACAAGGGCCTTCAGAATTTTATGTGGGGCTTTCAGAATTTTATGTAAGGGCCTTCAGAATTAGAAAACCACTGCACAAAGAGGAGTTTTTTTTGAAACCTTGATATGAATACAAAAGAATGTTTTGTTGTTCGTGTGGAACTGCTGTTTTACCCGAAGCAAATTATCGTCTCGAGTGTGGTTCACGAATTATCAAAACAATCTCCCAAACATATATAATTGGACCTGTTATAATAGACGTGATATCAGTATACCGCAATTCTTGGTCTGCTTGCATGAAAATTATCATGGTGTGAAGATCCATATTATACGTACATGCACTCATAAATACCTATTCCCTGAACACAGGATCATGCATGCATGCTTTACAATGCCAAGAAAATACAACACATGCCATAATTGCATCTATATATGCTAAGTGAAATTAGGTCCAAAGGATATGAAGTTGCGTCTAGTCAAGCGTCTATAGCTCTTCTCTCCCTGATACCCTCGGGGTAAATTGCGGTGCCCGGGCCAATTTTGGCACCGCTTTATATTCTGTATGTGAGTTTGTTAGTTTGTTCGGATCAATATGTTTCCTTAATCGCCTAGAAAAAATTTCTTGCACGTGCTCTGAATTTATTCATTTTTGCGGAAATATTAATTATTCTTGGACTCTCAAGACCGTCTGCGTGCTGGGCTTTGTCTCTGGTTTTATGCCCCAAACAAGGACAAAAAATACCACTGTTCGAATCAGCGTAAAATTAAGGTTGTCTTTATGGATGGAAAATTGATTTCAAAATTGATTTATATTGCAGCGAATCATGCATTTTAAAAGACAATTAAGCCGCTTCTTTCACGTTTTCTGAATTTTTTTTTTCGAGGAGAGTTTTCTTTCAAATTAATCTCGGACTCTCACGATTGACTTTCTGGTGCGGCTTATCTCTAGTTTTATGCGCCAAATAGGGACAAAAATACCACCGTTCGATTCAGCATGGGAAATTGTACTTACGGGTGGCAAATATATATTACTAAACAACAGTATTCTAACGATTTAGGGCCTTTGGAAGTCAAGCGAAATTGTATTGTTGAGAAATTGCTCAAAATTATTAATTATACTAATTTTAATTATAATTATCAAAAGAGGAAATAAAAATTTATATGGCCATTTCCCTTCGAAACGCCTATACTTCATTTTTTAAAGGGTAAAACAACAGCCACACTGAAGAGCAAAACATTCTTTTCAAAAGCTATTTTGCCATATTACAAGTGTTATACACTAAGTATACTCCTCTTTGTGCAGTGATTTTCTGCCGGCTCAGTCCTGCCTAAAATTCCGAAGGTCCCACAAAAAGTTCTGAAGGCCCTTGCAGCATAAAATTCTGAAAGCCCGAGCATAAAATTCTGAAGGCCCTACATAAAATTCCGAAGACTTTACGTAAAATTCCGAACGCAATAAATAAAATCCTGAAGGCCTTAATTTAAACAAAGTTGTTACATCTACCACAGGCAGAAGCAACGATCTATCAAAACGACTATCAAAACGACTCCCCGTTTTAAATAGGTCGAAGGGGCAGCTAAACCTCTCAGAAGGGGAGAAATCGATATTAAACTTTCCAACTAGATTTTACATTTGTCAGGCGTTATCAAGCTGTTCAATAAGCAAGTAAACAAATTGTTTATATAATTATAAGTGGTAGGCATATATAATAGCTGAAGTGTTAACGGTTTATCATATACTGCTTCTGTAAATATTTTTACCTGTAGAAATTTTATTGATTAGTGCAACCAACTCATGATCTTTGAGGACATATGAAGGTTCTTCAATTTCCATGTATACATCATGAACTTGCTGAGAAGAAATTTTATTAATACTTGCTATCATATTAGGGCGACATCCTCCTGGGAGATGACTTGGAAAAGCAGGAACAAATGTATTCCCTAAAAGATAAGGCCGTCCTCCAAGTCCGTTTATGATATTAGCAACTTGAGCAAAATGAAACATTTCGTCCACAATAATCTGATGTAACATTTTCTTAACCTCTTCATTCTGCCATGGTTTTATTGATAGAAATCCATTCATGTAAATTGGTAATGTGGAATGTTCCAGTTCTAGTGCAGTTTGAAGCATATTCAGTAAATGCTGTTTCGTTAATAATCGTGCATGGTGTGTGAGACCGAAATCAGGTTTGTCATCATCCAGCCACTTTAAAATCATTTCTGTCTTCTTTGGCGAGAGATCGCGTGTTACTGGCATGTACTGAGGATCCTGAAAATCCAGTGACATTGTTGTAAGTATATGACATTTCTTCTCGACTACACTGTTGTAATCCCCTAGATCGACAAAACTTCGCATAACTGGGAAGAGGTTGGCATAAAGTTGGAAAATAGGAAGGATGTCGATAACCCAAGTTGGTTGGTCACGTGGGGTTATTTCATCGTAGACATGGATACAAATCGCAGAGTTCATTGCCTCGTTTCGATCTGGGTTTAAGGGATAACCATTAAACGTGTATTGCAATGCATATATTTGACCATCAATGATCTTTCGAATGTTATTGGGATCATTCATGGCGTAAAAGTAGTAGTTGTAGATGCTCGGGTCAATCGTATCTTTGAATAATCCAAACGGCTGGGCGGGACCAAGTGGATGATCCCTAATAATTGAATCAGCTGTCTCCAACTTCAAGTTAATATTTGTAGTCGTAGTTGCTTTCTTTCCAAAAATAGTAACAAATAAATTGCCATGTATGACGTCTTCATGTTGCGCTCGGAATACTAAACGACTATTATATGGACGCACATTTATTCCCTCTTTGTTTTCTGCCAGGAGAATATTCAGGCAGGCCCCACCTTCATCAATCTGAAACACAAAGAATAACATTTAAACAATATCGTGATACTTATTACATTCGGTAAAGGGCGCCGATTATCAGCAGAGAAAATCGGCATGTATAGGGTACATTTTTCAACCATTATATTTTAAGGAATATTAATTTAACTCGAATATTCCAGTTCCTTCAAGGAGGTGTCAGGATATTGGCAGAAGGCTCCAACCATCACAAGAATTTAGCAACAGTACGGCACACACAAAATGCTGAACTGGCCGACAAGTCCATGATAGAAAGTTCAAAATAGGGCCGAAAGATGAAAACGTCTTTACACCTATACTATGATTAATTCAAACAATCCTACAGACCCAATATATTTCTCTTTTATAACAGTTTTCGGCTGAATTATATTTTGTACCGTACGCTTCCAAAGAATGAACTGTACCACTGCATAATAAACTTCAGTCATTTTCTATTATTTGAGCTATAGCTAAAATTTATCACATTCACTGTTTAAAATTAGTGTAAGTGTTTGTGTTGGTATTATTGTATCGGACGTAAGTCCGGGGCGAGGGCACTAATTCCGCACGGCTATTTACACCCACCCACGTGAAAAGGAAAGCATTAGCACTGATTGAGTAAGGGCAGATGTATAACTACAGTAAAAAGTTGTTCTACGGTCGCCATTTTCCTCGCAAGTGTCGCTCGCGTGATAATTCGTCATTTGGTAATACGTCATTGCTTTCAAATTCTTTCCACACATTGAATTGCTTTCAAAAACTTTAAACATTCAACAAATTGTGCTCTTGATTGTTTAATAAATATCGATCCATAAAATCCGCAATAAAATGCAAAACTTCGCGTTTTTCAGGAAGGTATTTAGTTCAAGTGTCATAGCGTGATCAGGACGTATACATCTAGCTAGGAAAATTTGCGGACACGAAATCTAATTAAGCTGCACACCTGGTATATACTTCATCTGCGATATTAGTGAAGTCTAAAGTTCATCAATTAATAATCGTGGGCGCATGGCTATTGTCCACGTTCTCAAAAATATGGCGGACTATCATGAATAGCCAACACTGATTGGTCAAATTTAAAACTGGCATTATAACGACGGCATGACAACAGCGAAATAACAAACATTTCTTGCAAATATATTTCACTTGAATTTATTTTGCAAGATCTTTTAAATTTCAAAAGCATTTGGAGGAAAAAAAGCTGAAAGGCTTGCTAGAAGATGGGAGCAACGCCGCCGACGTTAATGAAGGTAAGTTTGTTTTAATTATTGATGTAGGCCTATTGTTTGCTCTATAATTGCTTTGAGAATTAATCGTTGCGTATAACGAAAAAACATGGCATATAATTTCAGTGTTATTGATTACTTTTTTATTATACTAAAATGTTTAAATAAAGAGGAAAGCAAAGTTATTTGGAATAATTTATTTCAAACTCAAAGTTTATCGATAAAAGCAGTTTAGTTTTAAGAACACCTTCAAAAACGTTTTGCGAAACGTTTGTGGTTGAATTTTATATTATATTGAAGCCTATATTACATATAATAATATTATACCTCAAATTCAAATTGTCCAATCAGCAAGCTTAGTTTGTGCCACATGAGCATGAAATTAATCGCGATATCACGCCTTACGTCATCAATTAGCGAGCCTGCGTTCCTTTTGACAATGTTCCACCCCATGTTCCCCGGCGAACATGGGCTGCAACATTATTTGCGTAGGCCACGCGAGACAACACGCAGGACAACATGGCAGACAAAATATAGTATTGATGAGTGATGAAATATTCAAATAAACCTGGGGCTTTTCCAAAATTTTGAAGCAAATTTTGAGAAATGTTGTCATTAATATTCCAAACGATATGTGATTCGAAGGAAAAGCGACGAATAGGTGTGTGTCATGTAATCATAGGTATGTGTCAATTTTTTTATTCTCAACTTGGAGGCTTTTGATTTTCGATATAATACAACATTTATAGACCTGGAACGAGTGGGATTCGCCGAAATATTACCCCCAGTGATGTTATTTCCCTCGGGGCAAAGCCCCTCGGGAAATATCATCACTTCGGGTAATATTTCAGTGAATGCCCCTCGCTCCAGGTCTATAAATGATAAACGTAAAATGACATACCTCACATATACAGCTAATTAAAAAAAGGCTGTTCTTTGCAAACCTTAAATTATGAGAGCATCATCTAAACAGTTTAGAGATAATATATGGGGCCTAGAGACATGTTCTTATAGAGAACAATTCTTTCACAAATAGCTGTAATATTCAACTACTAAGCTTGAAACTTGTGCTCCCATTAAGCTTTGCGAGTTTAGAGTTTAAGCTTAAGGTTTAGAGTTTCAGGTTTGCAAAGGACAACCATTTCTGAATTAGCTGTATATGTTTGAAAAATTGATCATTTTGTAATTAAATGTGATATTTTTGGGGGATTTTTCAATTTTAAAAATATTCTTACAGGTAAACTACTTCGTAACTCATTTGGAATTTTCCTCATTAGCTTTGCCAAATTTGAAAAACTGTTTGCAAATCCCTTGAGTGAATTTGCAATGTTCCTATCGGCTGTTGCAACATTCCAAACTTCATTTTAAATTTTCCTAACTTCCTGTTTTAATTTCCTAACTTCCTGTTCTGTTCTGAGCGTTGTTATTGGTCGATTATTTTTGTTAGCCAATTGCAACGCCCAGAACAGAACAGGAAGTTAGGAACTTGTAACAGG